TGAAGGGCCAGCTAGTCCCTAGGGTGGCTGCGGCAGAGGGAGCAAGGGGGAGAGGGGCTGGGGGACAGAGAGGCAATGGGAGGCGGTGCAGAGCAGTGTACCCACTGCAGGAAGTAAGGGGCCTCGGGAACGCTCTGAGCAGAGCAGTGAACGCCAGGACTGGAGTCATCAGCAGGCATGGTTTTGTTGGAGCGTTAGGACAAAAGCCTGATTGAAGTGGATTTGAGTGCGTGTGGAGGAGAGTGAAGGCACAAGATGAGACAACTCTTTCCAGAAGTTGTACTGAAAAGTGGAGCAGAGAAACAGGAAGTGGCTGGTGAGAAAGTGGAATCAAGAGAAGGTTTTTTGCTTTGTTTCTCTTTGAAAGCAGTGATGGTGCATCTGAACGCTGCTGGGAAAAGTCTGGAGGAGAACCCGTCTTGACGGTGTCAGTTGGAGCAGGCATAACCGGAGGGAAGGGAAGACAGGCTCCAAGGGCAGGTGGTGGCCTGGCTGTGGAGGAAGACCAGGGTAATGAGGACAGGGGTGGATTGGGGCTGCTGAGGCAGGCCGGCTGGCTGGAGACTTCGTCAGCAGAGGCTCTCTGTGGAAAGCCTCCCTCCACATCTCAGCTGCACTTCCTGTCAGTAACCTTGCCCTCAGGCCACGAGTATAGTAATAGACATCCCCACCTGGCCCAGCTGTGGAGACAGCACTTGAAGCTCCATAGACCCCAAAGGGGACCAGAGACGGAGACAGAAGGGTAGGAAACTGAGAAAGAGAAAAACCAGAGAGGGATCAAAATTCAGCCCAGTCTCCCACAGACCCCAGGCACAGGCAGGGGCCGCAACCTGAGTCAGGAGCTACCCTGTGCTGTTCACAGCCCTAAGCATCCAGGCCAGGTTTGAATTGCTAAGAAATTCATTTGCCAAGCTGAGCACTTTCTGCGAGCCTCAAGTTCCCAGTTATAAAGGGGGGAACACCACCAACCTCCTCTTGGGTCTTCTGGGAGAATTTAGGGGTTATAAAACACATAAAAGTACCATCAGGGTGCCCGACAAGGAGCCAGATTTTTTTTCCTTCTCCCCTCTCATCTCCCACCCTGGGGGGGGGCCGTCCTACGTCTCCACACCGGTTCCTACAGCAGCTCGGAGAATGGAAGCAGGGCCCCGCCTGCTGGCTGACTCTGGAACTGCTCCTCTGCCCCGGTTCAGAGGTAGAAGACTGCACATCCAATTCTTCCAGCAATTTCACTCCATGGCAGCAGATACCATGCAACTTCGGTAGGTGAGCACGCAGGCCTTCTTACCACCCCCACCACCACGGGGCAGGGGCTTTAATCCACCCTGACCCCCTCTACTCTTGCAGCTGCCCCTGCCTGGAGTGCCCCCACCTCCATCTGGAAATGTCAAAGGTCTGAGGCTTTCCACGACCCTCGCCTCTTAGCGCCCTCTCACTCTCACAGAGAGAATTAGTGGGGAACTTTCCCACATTCTCTCAGCGTTTGGGCTTAACCTCTGGATTGGCTAAACTGTGCGGAGAGAACTGAAACACCTGTCTCCCCGGCTTTGAGACTCACCTGAGGGCAGGAACTGCCTCATTCATCTAACACCAGAATCCCATCAATCACTGCCCTGCCCGAAACCTCCCCAAGGATGTCTCCCCACTCTGGGTGAGGAGGTTGCGTGTCTCTGTGTGTGATGTATATGTCTCTAGATTTTTCCCATATTTATGTCTTCACACATTTTTTTTTTTTTTAAGGGAAAAAAAATCCTTCACTGGCTTCCTTATACCTTCAAATTCCCCAGCAAAGCTCACAGCATGGGACCTGGCCTCTGTCTTCCTGATTCCTCCCTCCTGCCGAGTAGTCATCCCCTCATCCATCTTCCACGAATCTCACTGGTTCCTCTCCCTGGAGAACCACAGCTCACACTACTCCATGCAGCAAGTCCCTTCTTGATCATCAATGCTCAGCGCAAGTGTCATCTCCCTAGAGGCCTCCCTGACACCCTGGTCTCGCTCATCTCTGCTGTCCTCATCCCGTCTATCCCTGTGGAAGCTCTCGGCATCTGAGCAGCAGCACCGAAACTGTGCCTGTTTTCCTCTAGAAGGCAGGCCTCTAGTGGGCAGGGTAGTGCCCTTCCATACGCCCAACTCACACGTGTTCAATCCGTGTTAGCTGAAAGTCCCCACTGCCATCGTTTGCTCACAAGCAAAATGAGGGATCCAGCCAGGATCTCACAAACCCTTCTGACTCTAAAAATTCTGAGTTGATAACGACAAGCATGTTTTAGGCAAGCAGTTACCAAACAGTTGCTCTCAGCCAAAAGGTCCTTCTCCATGGGGTTCACCACCCTTTCCCATCCTGGGGAGGTAAACAGGAAGTCATCCCCTCCCTCCTCAGCAGAGGGCCCATTGGGGCCTAGGACGCTGGGGAACCAACAGTCGCTTCTCATCTCTGCATCCCTCAGCAGCGCTGTGCTCACCTGAGCAATGGAGACCGTCTGCCGATCCTGGTGGTGAACAGGAGTTTACCTCCCCACAGTCATCGGCTAGAGCTGTGTTAGGGGCGAGAGGCAGCTAAGCCGCTTCCTGCAGTATTCCCCTTAGAGGGGCACTAAAACAGGATTGGAATAAATCAGAAATCTGGGTGCCAGGGAAGCCAGGTTTCCATACACGTGCCTCTATTTGCTGTGTAACCACCAAATTCAGCCATTCCTGCTTCCACTAAAGTCAAACGGACCTTTGAAAAGAAAGGGCTTTTGCAGGCTGGGATATTCTCTACTGAGCCTTCTTTGAGACACAAATTCAAGTTTTACTCTGCAACTCAAATTCTGAAACGAAATAACAAATGGCATGATCTCTCACCAGAAGGATTTTATTATCTAAAATACATCTAAATCCTTTATTATACCTTCTAGTAAGTTGTCCAGTTTGGGAAAAACTTGACTTTCAATTTCCAAACATCTAGCTCCAGTCTACATAGCCTGATGGCAAGCCAACTACGGCTCATACACCCTTCCCCTTACCTCATCCTGGAGGCCGTGTTAACCTGTGCTCAGGCTCTGGAGTCAGAATCCAGTTCCAAACCTGATTTCACTATATGAAATCATAGGGAAGTTTACTTTATCTCTGAACTTGTTTTCTCATCTGTAAAATAGGGATAAAAACAGTACTCCTTAGGGCTATGAAAATTAAATAAATGCTGTAGATGGTCGCTTGACAGTAGGCTGGTGCTCAACAAATGATTTTTAACCAGGACTAATAGTAACCTTTGCTATGATGACAGGAAGGTATCCTCATAAGATGAGGACAGACATCGTTACGGAAGCCAGCAGAGAAGTTAAACTTCTGTCTAGCTGTGATTTTATAGATCTCTGTTCCTTTTACCAGGCTGCTCCTGCTGTGAGTCCACACTCTCAACCTAAGGGGTTTGGAACCTAGTTGGCATTTCCACCACAGTCACATACGTTGTTTCAACATACACAAAGTATACTTCCTGCACACACTGTTCTAGTATGCAAGACACATCCATCCTGGTCAAACTCCACTGAAATCCCTCCTAAACGTCCGCACCTTTGCTGCTCTCATCCCCGTGCTTCCTGAGCTGTGGCTCAAACGCACACAGCTGCAGCCAGAGGGTGGTGGTCACACCGGGACAAGGGCACCAGTCTCCCTGTCAGGCTGAGGCTCTGCCCGCTGATGAAGGGCAGCAGGCACCTCTTAACCCACTTTGCTCAGTGAGGCTTCATCAGGGGACTGGAATCTCTAATTAGAATTTCCAATTTGTCAGGGGGCATCTTTATCTGTGGTAATAAAATGGGGACACAGTGTCACCTCCCAAGCCTGACAGCTGTACCTCTGACAAATATTCCCGTATGGCAGTGGAAGTAGGTGATGGCAACTGAATCACAAACTGCACCCGAATGACAAAAGTTACGTTTAATTTACAATGTAATAAAGGTTACAGGTAAAAAGCTACACATAAAGCGTGAAAAGGCCTATTACACAAATGTACAAATCTCTGTACAAAGCTCTTATCAATGTGTCCTACCTTCGTCTCCTATGTTTGTTAGCCAGGTCTTCTAGTCTTGGAGCTCTGGGTCGAATGGGGGAAAGAGCCTCCGAACCATCATCTAAAAATGTCCTCTTAGAGACATCCGTTACTTCAAATTAAAAATCTTTTCCTTTTTAATTAGAATTGCTCTAACTGATCATATCCTTTAAAAATTGCCTTCATAACACACTCAAAAAGGAAAGTAATACCTTAGAGAGTAGAGGACAGTACCCTGAAATCAAGTGAGAAATTTCCACAAGTACTCAGATTTGACAAGAAAAACAGGTAAAGTTCAAACAATACTGTAAGTTTAAAACTATCAACCTGTGTCTATGGCACTGGTCACAGATGAGGAAAAATCAAAATGTTCTCATTCTAACAGAAAGGACAAAAGAGAAAAGTCTAACTACTGGACCTCAAAACCACTAACTCAGGAAAACACTTTTGAGTTTAAATCTTAGCTTAACTGGAGAATTTTAAACCCTCTTGTTAAGCAACCTGGAATCCGTGGCAACCCTTCTGCTACCTGGACTTGCAGGGATAGTAGGTATAAATTAGGCCACTGGACCCACAAGGCTGGTGGGGCTTCTGTCACCCCCACAGCTCTGGATTCAACCTGAGGGCCTAGAGTTTCTCCCTGGGGTATGTGACCTTAAATAAAAATGACCTAGAAAGAGGGAGAAAAGAAAAAAGGAGAAAAGGAAAGCCTGGGGAAAAGCCAAGGCAATCTATTTAAAAGGATGTATGAAACATTTCTCTGCAATGAAAGTGTTCTGAAGACAGGTCTTTCTGGGATATTTCAACTTCACCCTCCGTTTTAATAGTACATGGTTAGGACCCCAGGAGACATTCTGAAAGACGATACTGCACACATGAAAAGTTTTTCTCCCTAGTTCATTAGCTCCCCCCATCACCCTTCCACCCCATTCCCACCCTATCCCACCCTCCTCCATGACCAAAAATATCAAATCAGTAAGGAAGGTGTGGGCTTCTTGCCCGGCCACGCCTCTTTTGCGTATTTCTTCTTCTTGGGTTCGTTGACAGCTTCGGGGTTATAGACAGCAGGGTTTGGTGCAGGGTTCATGTTCACTGCTGACGGCACAACAGGAGTCAAGTCCACATCAGGAGCGAGGTTCGGATATGGCATGGGCAAGCCACCAATGAGTGCTGTCCCATGGATGCCGTGTGGCTGGGAGCCAGCTTCACTGTGTGTGGGGGGCAGGCCCCCGTAGAGTCCTCCACTGAAGGCAAAGTTCTGCATGCGCCTGCTTCCTGACTCCTCCAGGCCCAGGGAGCCAGGGCCCTCCACCCGCTTCTTCTGTGGTTTACAGAGGAGACAGAAGTGAGACAGAAGAGTGCTGTTAGGTTCTTCTGCTGCAGTCCAAAAAAAACTGGGAAAGGCCCCTGAACCTCTAACTCATTTGTTTCCCAAACAACCCATCTCACTGTCCTGAAATCTCAGGGTCTGAAGAGACCTTACAGTGGTCATCTAACATGTGGCTCCTAAACACTGCTCCAAACAAAGCATTCACCATCTTATGTCAAACCGAGAAAAATGAGGCCAGTGTGTGAACTTTTCATAAAGTAAGACTTATCCAGTTTAAGTCACCATTCTTTACCCTAAGGTCATGCTTCTCTCTCTTTTTTTTTTATGTTAAAATACCCTTTTAGGAAACAAAGGTGATTAATAGATGGTTGCAAGTATTCTAATTTTTATGTTTTGAGGAAATAAACAGCAGAAAATTCCAAAGGAAGAAGAAAGAAGAGAAAGGTGCTCAAGGGGAAATGTGACACAAACTCTACGGAGTTGTATGAAAAATTTCATCTTGTAGTTTTTCACATCGGACTAAAGTTCAATGAAAGATCTTCCTGAAACAAAGACTAACCAGAAACTTGACACATTTCTCGAAATAATATATTCTGAAGATCAGAGAGAAAAAAAAACGCTCTCTAGCAGCTCTGATCAGCATCTTCCAATCACCATTTGAACACCTCTGCCAACAGGGATCTGCTTCCAGGCACCATTTGCTCCCTTTTGGAGCCCTAGCTGTCAGGTGGTTCTCCATGTGTTGAGCACTCAGAACATCTCTGTAGCTTCCACCTCTTGGTTCTTCAATAGAGCTATCTTTAAACCTAACCCAACATGGGCTGGCTTTCCAATCTGTGCCACTCTTGTTCACAAAATAAAGCCATGGCAAAAGCCAGAGGTGCCATGCAGAAGGCAACTATGCCTCCTCTTTGCCTAACAGCTTACTCCAAGTTAAGAAGGGAAGACTAAAGAAAGGTGGGTGTCTCTGCACCCTACCCTGCTGAGAGGTAAATTTACAGACTTCCATCACATTACAATTTACATGCAGCATTAAGCTGGCTCGTCACCTGCAGTTTCTCTATGGCACTCCAGGATCCGGACACACAGATGGGGTAAAAGTATTCCCAAAGTATGAAAAACAAGAAAGGGGCAGAGAAGGTATTTTAAAATTAAGCCTACACATCGAAGAGTGGGTTTTTAACCCAGATTATATAACATTTTAAACATGCTTCCTACCTTGACTGGGACCACTGCAGTCTGCACCATGTTCCGAAAGCGACCGACTGAAGGATCCACATCCTCTGCAAAAAGACATGAGGGCAGGGTTAATTCAGTAATCAACTGGGAGGATTAATGTCACATGGCTCAGTGTGAACAAAGCCATCACAATAACTCATATTAAAACAGTAAAATACAGCTAACCCTTCAGGTGTTTACTGGGTATGTGTTCAATCCTCATAACAACCTCATGAGCTAGGTACCACTAGAGCAAACATGTAATAGATGAGAAAACAAACTCAGGCTTGGGGGAGGAAAATGACGGACCCAGTCATCTCACTGGAGAGGAGCCAGGATATAAATCTCAGCAGCCAGAAACAGGCCTGTGCTCTAGACCACTTTCCCATTCCACATACTTCCCTCTTTCGAGGGGACATTTAAAAAAAAAGTAGACATCATCAATCTCATGTTTGATGAGATTATTTATTACTCACCTCAAGAGGTCACACACTTTGCCTTTTGAGCTGAACACCTGTATACAGGCATACCTCACTTTACTGTGTTTCACTTTACTGTGCTTTGCAGATATTGAAGGGTTTTAAAAAAAAAAAAAAATTGAAGGTTGGTGGCAACCTTGCACTGTCAGATGATAGTTTGCATTTTTAGCAATAAAGTAGTTAATTAAAGCATTGTAAAGAAACAAGGACACGGGTTTTTTTAAGATATAATGCTATTTTTTAGACATAATGCTATCACACACTTGTAAATGTAACTTATATATGCACTGGCAAACCAAACAAATCTGCGTGACTTGCTTTGACATTTGCTTTATTGGAGTGGTCTGGAATGGAACCCATAATATCTCCAATGCATGCCTATACAAGGAAGACTCACTAAAGGATCTGAAGCCCCTGCCCAAGCAGGGTGGGAGAGCTTTTCACAGCTTAGACACACACTACTGCACCCTCCAAAGCTTCTAGCTTCATTCATTCACTCTGCCAGGAGAAAGCACTAAGATCAATTTAAGGGACATGCTTGCAATCAGTCTCTCGTTTACTGGACAGAAGGCATGGAAATGAAGAGCAAGACACTGTCCTGCCTTTAAGGAGCTCAGAGCTATAAAGCCAGATGGATCACAATACAATGGAGGTGCTTCAAGAGAAGTATGAAAGTAGTGATCTTAGAGCACAGAGGGGAGACTGGGTTGGATGACCTACAATGAACAGTTTTCTCACTGAAGACGAAGTGTGGGGAAACAGGCAAGCACAGACTAGAACATTACTAGAAAACCAGAAAACACAACTCCCTGGCCCTTTTATCTTAATACAGTGGTAGGAAAGGAGTTGTTTCCCTAGCAGACATTGTACACCTTATTTTAATGCATTGAAGGTGTTTGCTATTTAAAGAAACACTCCTGTGAGTCCCTTTGGGATATAAAGTATTCCTTATTTAATTGAAGAGCCCCTGGTTTACTTAAGTCTGGCTTTTCACATATTACTGCTACTGCTAAGTCACTTCAGTCGTGTCCAACTCTGTGCAACCCCATCCCTGGGATTCTCCAGGCAAGAACACTGGAGTGGGTTGCCATTTCCTTCTCCAATACATAAAAGTGAAAAGTGAAAGTGAAGTCGCTCAGTCATGTCTGACTCTTCGAGACCCCATGGACTGCAGCCTACCAGGCTCCTCAGTCCATGGTATTTCCAGGCAAGAGTGCTGGAGTGGGGTGCCATTGCCTTCTCCATTTCACATATCAGGATGCCTCTAAAGGATACATCCTGGAATTACATACACAAACAATTGTTCAATGAATGAATGAATGAACAGCTTCTATACAGAAAAAGAAAGAGAAAAAGGTACCAGGCTCATCAGGAAGGAGACAAGGTCTCTAAAAAAAGGCACCCTTATTTTCTCTCATTACCATAGGAGCCCTGTTCCAATCATCCCTTCAGGAAAGCTAAATGAAGTGCAAGAGCAACTGGAGCCCAAGAAGCATGGCTAACAGGGTATGTGCCCCACGAACAACACAGGCCTGTGGAAGTGAGGACACGGCCACCGAGGAGACCCTGTCCTGTGCTGGCTGAACAGTGTGCGGGCCTCTCACCCTTTCCTCACTCTCGAGCCATTCAACTCCTGGAGACGGAGTCTACCTACTGCAGGAAATCTCTGCTCCTGGAAAATCTACCAAGAGGTTCCTTCCCAGGTCTACTTCTGGTATAGGAAAGTCTACACAGGTAAATGCCAAAGGGCTGGCAGATGACTGGGATAATGGCTAACATTTATCAAGAGCTACTGAGTGCCTGGGTGAAGCACAAATTGGAATCAAGATTGCCAGGAGAAATATCAATAACCTCAGATATGCAGATAATACCACCTACAGCAGAAAGCAAAGAGAAACTAAACAGCCTCTTGACGAAAGTGAAAGAGGAGAGTGAAAAAGCTGGATTTAAAACTCTACATTCAAAAAAGGAAGATCATGGCATCCAGTCCCATCACTTCATGGCAAATAGATGAGGAAACAATGGAAACCGTTGACAGACTTTATTTTCTTGGGCTCCAAAATCACTGCAGATGGCAACTGCAGCCATGAAATTAAAAGACACTGCTCCTTGGAAGAAAAGCCATGACAAACTTAGAGAGCATATTAAAAAGCAGAGACATTTACTTTACCAACAAAAGTCAAAGCTATGGTTTTTCCAGTAGTCATGTATGGATGTGAGAGCTGGACTATAAAGAAAGCTGAGCGCCGAAGAATTGATGCTTTTGAACTGTGGTGTTGGAGAAGACTCTTGAGAGTCCCTTGGACTGCAAGATCAAACCAGTCCATCCTAAAGGAAATCAGTCCTGAATATTCATTGGAAGGACTGATGCTAAAGCTGAAGCTCCAATACTTTGGCCACCTGGCGGGCAGAACTGACTCACTGAGAAAGATCCTGATGCTGGGAAAAATTGAAGTCAGGAGAAGGGGATGACCCAGGATGAGATGGTTGGATGGCATCATCAACTCGATGGACCTAAGTCTGAGCAAGCTCTGGGAGTTGGTGACGGACAGGAAAGCCTAGTGTGCTGCAGTTCATGGGATCGAAAAGAGTCAGACATGACTGAGTGACTGAACTGAACTGAGTGCCAAGCACAGATCTGAGGTATTTTCCTCGTAATCATTTCATCTCTCCACCAATCCTGTGGGGCCAGAAGTCTGACAAGTCACTTGGCCAGAGGGTCACAGAATTACCAAGCAGAGACATGAATTTCATACCCAGGCCCTCTGATCAGAGCCCATGCTCTTAAACACTCTGCCATACTCTCCCTAAACATACTGCCTTCATAAAGTTCCAGGACAGTAATTTTCTTCTTCTTCTTTTTAGCTGCACCATGTGGCATGTGGGATCCTAGTTTCCTGACCAGATACTGAACCCACGCCCCCTGCATTAGGAGCACAGAGAACCACTGGACCACCAGAGAAGTTCCACAATAATTTTCAAGAGAAAAAACAGAACATATCAGACCCTAGGTCTTGAAGGAGACTTAATGAATTATCTAGATCAGTCGTTCCCATACTGTTGGCTGTTCATCAGTACAAATAAGAGCTTATTAAAACTACAGATTTCTATGTCCAACGTCTAGAAACTCTTATCTGGCATCCAGAAATAAACTTTCTAGATTAGTCATCCAGCTCCTGACTAAACATCTCCCTTGGGCATTCACTACTTTGGCAAGTAATTCATTTCACTTCACACATCATCAGAAAGTGAACAAAAGTCACTAGAATGAATGCTCCAATCTCTTTCACAGGAATTCTTTTAATTCTTCTTCTAAATATAAGGATTTGTTGTTGCTTTTTATGCCGAGCTAAATACTTGCTACTCTCAGGCTCTGGTTTCGCCTACTCATTCCTCGCGAAGGTCAGCCTTGCAAACATCCACCCTGAGGTGCCTCCCCCGAATCTACTCTCCTTCATGCACATTTCCCAGCATTCAGGGACCACTGTCTATAGCTGGGAGTCTCCTTCCCCCTTAAGACTACAAAACACATTTAGTATTTTAGTAGAAGTTATAGCCTTAAAGAGGCAAGTCTTCAATTCAGTTAATAGTGGCAGAAAGTTCTCCAATTTTAAGAGTTACCAGTCATACACAGAACCCCATGAAGACAACAGTGTCTGCTCTAACCTATACTTAAACTCCACTATGATACAGACATGTTGCATCAGCAAAGGAGAACTACAGCCATGCTCTGTATACTGAATTGTAAGGGCCCTTCCTCTAGCTACTTCTTTCACACTGCAACTGGATGCTTGAGTGTTCAGGGCGCTACATCAATGAAAAGGTATAGCTTGTTTTATTGTGCTTCACAGACACTGAGTTTTTTATATCGATAAATTTGATGGTTTGTGACAACACTGCATCAAGTAAGTATTTCAGTGCAATTTTCCCATTCACTCACTTCCTAGCTCTGTGTTACATTTTGATCATTCTCACATGTTTCAAACTTTTTCATTATTATTACAGTTGTTATAGCGACCTATGACCAGTGATCCTTGTTGTCACTATTGTAAAAAGATTACAACTTGTGGAAGGTTCAGATGATGGCTGGCATTTTTTAGTAATAAAGTATTTTTTAATTAAGGTATGTACGTTGTCTTTTTAGACATGATGCTATCGCACACTTAACAGACTACAGCATAGTGTAAACGTAACTTTCACGTGTACTGGGAAACCAAAAAATGTCTGTGACTTGCTTTACTGAAATTCTTGAACCAAACCCACAATATCTCCAAAGTATGCCTGTACTGTAAAAATATCTCCCCTCAATATAGCACCTGTTATTCTAAACCTTGTTGAGAAACAACTGACCTAAAGGTTGTGTAAACTACTCTCTAGGATCACAGCCTTTTCATCAGAAAAAACTTGGAAGATACCTCACCTGGGTTGATGATCTCATCATCCTCACTAAAGGTCACCCGTGAGTTCTTCCTCTTCCTCTTTGGTCTCTGAATGTCCAGATTCCCCTCCTCAATGGTGAGAGTGGAAATCCGCTTGTTGTGGGCAGTGTTGAATTCTGTCAGGTTCTGGGCCAGAGTTCACACAGGAAAGATAGGAATAAGTACACAAGGAATTTGAAGGAGAATATTACCAAACAAAGAGCAGGAAGGTATTAGGAGCTAACCTTGACCTCTTCACACAAATGAAATTCTCTTCTGCATTCAGAAAAGATTCATTATTGTCCCTAAAGAGCTAATACCAGCAAGCCTCATTTGACAGAATGAGGAACATCTTCAGTGACCAGTGAGGCAGTGATATTCAAAAGGGGCTGAAGGACCTTGAGCTGAAAACAAGTCATCTGTGCAAAAACCCTTGAGTTGACGTTTGGGGGTTTTTTGAAGAAGGTTATCATGTCTTCATGCTGAGAATTAAATGAATGTGACTGGGAAGAAATTCAAGAACTGTTTTTAAGTAACAAAACAGATGAGAAAGAAAAACTGATAATTTCTTTCCCAGTAGCTCTCTCCTTTAAAACTAGTAAGGACGCTGCCAGTGCACTGAATATTTGGCATTAATATTTTGTCACTCCCCATCCCTGTCTGGCCCCATTTCTATTCATAACTATCCATCCATCTCAGTGATTAACTTGGCCTCAGCACTGCTGCCTGCCTCTTTTCAATCCCTTGGACTTATTTCAATCTGCACTGCAGTTTGAGACATCCCAAATGTCTTGAGAACAAGACCGAGAGATGACAGGAGGAGGCATGGAAGCAGCCTGGAAAAGAATGGGCAAGAGGGACTGCCAGCCAGGACCCTGGCTACGAGGCTACTTATTTACAACCAACTAACTTCTGAGTTGTAAGATTTCTACTGTGCTTTTTTCTTCCTAACATCTGGGAAACTGCCTCTGTATACAAGAAGAGTAAATGTATGTGGGTGGTTAAGGACAGGCTGGCATTTGATCTACCTGGATAGACCAGTCACACCAATGCAGTGACAGGCATGTGAAGACAAAAGCTACACCACAAACTACTGGGGTCAACTCTAGACAAGGAAAACCTTAACACATTTAAGTTAAATGCTATAAAATTCAGGGCAGCCAGGTCCAGACAAAAGCAGTCTAGTTCTACTCAGAAGATTCTTGGGCTGATGGATGGTATCAAAAAAAGCTACAGAAATGAATGAAAGCTTCAATCTCTGTAAGCCAGTGCTGTTCAAACAAACTTTCTGGATGACAGAAATGTTTTCTATCAGAGCTATTTAGTATGGTTAGTCACTAGCCACATGTGACTACTGAGTACTTTGAATGTGGTTAGTGGCTACTGCATTGGATAGTGTAGCTCTTAAGAAATGTAATTCCCAGCCTTGGCTTCTAACACGCAGCAAAGGTGCACAAGACAACCATAAGGGTCTACTGGCTAGTCAGCCCTGGTTATATATAACCAAACCCACACAATGCAGATCTCCAAGGGCCACACCACACTGCCAAAGTGGCAAAGGCTTATCTCTCTGTTCAAGAAAAACTCCAGCTGCTAAGTCACTGGCATTTCAGGCTACATAGAACAGCTACATACTGCAAAAACCAGAGTCTCCAAGACATAACAATGACACAGACAATAGAATTACATCAAGTTCTGTTTCCTCCTCTGGAAGCCCCAGTAAGCCCTTGAGTTCATCATCCTCTCCACCCATCTTCTCATCTCCTTTCACAGCTGATGGCAATGTCTGAGGCTTCTCACGTAGAGTGTATGCCCTTGTGGATGCACCAAATGAGACCGTGGAGTCGATGGGAATTTGCTGAGGCTTGTGAGGCTCCAACCGAATGTGACCCAAGAAAGTGCCGTGTGCTGGGAATAACCAAATCAGAAATATAAGAGAGGAAAGGAAAAAAACAAACAAAAAACAAACCTGAGTTGCAAAAGAGAAGCTTCTGCCAGCATATCAGTTTTGCTTTTTAAAACAGAAATGGCATTGGGTCCGCTCTGCATCCCTTGTCATGAGTCACAATGAAAAGGAAAACTCCCTCACTGAGTCCTGAATCACTACAGTGGATTTCTGACACACCTTCAGACCTGCTGGACCCCACATAAAAGTGCCTCTGCAGCCAGACTGGCTCCATTCTGGGTCCAGCAGGAAAGGCTCCAATCCAGCAAAAGCCAAGCCCCGCAAAGAGGAGGACAGGAACTGCTGTGGTCTGACCTCTCCAGCCCCAAGCCTAAGGAATATAGGAACTGCTGGATGGGTAACAGTTATACTTGGGGTTTCCCCAGGGTAAGAAATGAGGCTGGCTGAAACAGGTGCAATACCAATGGCAAGGTAGGCCAAAAATCCTACTGGAGAGTCTGGGTATTTTTCCATGTCTACATTCTGCATATTATGAAATGGAGAGAAAAGATGAGATAAATTTGCAAGTACATACTTATGAGACAAGGCTCTCCAAAACCATCATATAACCATACTGGGGTAATGTGTGCATGTGTATGGGGAGGGGGAAAAGGAGTAAAACATGATCAACCCAGGAAGGAGATCCTTTACATTCCATGCTGCAATTAATTATACACAGGTGAAAATGAACAAATTTCAAGGCCCCATGTAGTCAAGTTTCAACTGCATTTCTGAGATTATCTCTGACAAACTTGAAAATCTTACAGTTGGAGTGTGCTCATAGAATTAAAATTGATATTAGTAGTAGTAGTCAAAGCAAAATGTAGCTGAGATAAAGAACCTATTATAAAAAATGAACTTGCTCAAAATAAGGATTCTTTTTATAATGTCCTGTACCCACAACTCTACTACATTAATGGAACTAACCACAACTTCTGCTTAAACTGGATCACAATCTCTCAAGGGCCTATGAACACATTCCCTAGTTCTTAGGTGTTTTTTTTGTTCTCCCTATATACCTATTACTCTCCTCAGGAAAGCACTCCCTAATATCTTTTTCTCTTTCCACTCATCAATTATTTCAGTAAAATAGGAAAGACCACAGGAATGGAGAAAGACTGATTCAAAAACCAAAGATAAACTTCCTTGATGAGCAATAAAACACAATTTCAAATATGAAGAACCCAAAGAGCATCTCCACACTGCCCAAAAGGGAATGTATAAAATGGGATGGGATATGAGTTACTTACTACTGTTGAGATCTATTAAGAAAACTCTCTTCAGATGCTTGTGGTAGACCAAGGCAGCGTGGACCCGAGAGCAAGACTGGTGGTCAATTGTGAAGTCACACAAATCAGGGTTTCGCCCAAATAAGTAATACTTCTTCTCATCGATAATCAGTTTCTAAATAAATATAAAATACTAAAAGTTTGTTTCAACAGGGTTTAGCAAAAATTCTTCCAATAAAAGTAGAGCATATTAAGGTAAAATTCCTTGTCAAAGTAAAAAAAATATATATATATATATATGTATATGTATATATATATGTATATGTATATATATTTCCTATTATTTTTCAAGATAAAGAGCTCAGAAAAATTTACTAACATTTCTGGGGGTTGGCAATTATTCTCCCCAAATATAGTGGTCAAATGTTGAGTGCTGATATGAAAAGAACTTTCCCTAATCCTATTAGATGTAAATGGCCTGCAAGAGAGGCTGTCTTCTTTTCATTGTAAATTTAAGATTTCACTTAACTTTAGGTTGAGCAGGAAATAAAAACATAAGCCATGCCTATAAAGGAATAAGACGTCTTTTCAGAAAAATATATATTCAAATGAAGATTATCTACTGGTTCACAAAGGAAAGGAGGTATAAACACTTACCTATATTCTAATCATGCTGCCAGAGCCCCAACTTATTTTTGGAAACCCCTTGAAATCAGAACTACATTAGACATCACTGTATGAGCCTCTAGATCTAACTTTATGGTCCCATTTCATTTTGGCCACGAAAAAGCATTACTCAGAGTTAACTCTAAATGCGTACTTGCTGTGTCCAAATATGGTATGACCTCACAGGGCCAAGATCTTCCAGGTTTGAGGGAAGAGAATGTAGAGATTCACATTTATTGAAGGGCTATTTTTGGCTAGGCATTTTAAGCATTATCTCATCTAATCATCAAAACAAGTCTGTGAACTAAATATCACCTTTATTATAGAAAGTGAACGTGTTAGTTGCTCAGTCTGTCCGACTCTGCAACCCCATGGACTGTAAACCCGCCAGGCTCCTCTGTCCATGGAATTCTCCAGGCAAGAATACTGGAGTGGGTTGCCATTACCCGCTTCAGGGAATCTTCCCGACCCAGGGATCGAACTGCAGTCTCCTACACTGCAGGCAGATTCTTTACCATCTGAGCCACCAGAGAAGCCTATCACCTTTATTATTTAAACATAAGAAAATAAATTCAGAGAGATGAATCTAGTCATTCAAGGCAGTCAGGCTGGTTAAGTAGCAAATGTGGGATTTAAATTCAGGTATGAATAACTTGCAATGCTAATATTCTAAACAACAGTGCCATGGGTCTGAAATAATTCTGAGAAGAACTCCAAAATGTTTCTAACCACTCCTGTGAAACTGGAAAAAATAGAACTATATAATGTCTCAATATAATAGCAGAAAAGAGGATTTTGCAGAGCAGCAAACTGTTACTTTAAAAATTGTAGGGGCTGATGTAGCGCTATTAACTTTTATTTAACCAAAAAAGAACTTTCTTTTACAATTGTCACCGATCATTTTATAAAAGAAAGGTCATTTTAACAAAAAAGCAGGGAGGACAAGGATAAAGGGCCACTCTTTGAGTTGAATTTAGCTTTATGAAAAACTCACTACACTGTCTTTTTCTTTTAATCCTAGATCAGTAAAGCTTTTGCCACATATTGGTTGTGGACTGGGCTGTCACAGATGAAGGACTCTAGGTTAAATTTTTGCTAACACTTCGTTCAGTTCTTAAGGTCTACAATTTGAGCCTTTGAAGAATAACCCTCATTCATACACATTATGTTGTTCCTTTACAGTTTTTATTTTTATCTGCACCACGTGGCTTGTAGGATCTTAGTTCCCAGATCAGTGACTGAACACATGCCCTTGGCAGTGAAAGCGCCGATCCCTAACCACTGGAATGCCAGGGAATTCCCTGGTTTTTTTTCCTTTAAACAGATTGTCTCACTAAGCTCTAGTTCACATTTCACACTATGCTCCTTCTAAAATCCCTGAGAGAAGACAGCACAAAGTTGAGTAAGGAAGTACAGTCAAATTAAGATGATACCAGGCTAGGAATCAAGAGGCTTATTTTTCCTTCCTGGCTATGTCACTGAACTCACAGTGGGCTACTATTCTCCCCTATGCTTCAGTGTTCTTACAAAACCAGAAATGTACCTCACATACTGGTAACAGTTAACAACTGCTGAGTACTTAAGCGCACACATTGTGCTATGAGATTTATGCTATGTCATTTCATCTTTACAGCCACTCTGTGAGATAAGTAGGTACTATTATTCCTATTTTTATAGATAGGAACAGTGAGGCATAAAGAAATTAATATATGAAAGTTCACACTGCTAGATATTTATAAACTGGATTAGAAATTCAGGTCTGCCTTCAGAGTCTAAGCTTTTATAACCACTATATATTTTCTTCACTCTTCCTGCATCAAAAAATCCACCATATGGCAAAAAACATTTAAGGAGTGAACAAGTAGTATAGGTCACACTCTTAATTTTTTTTTAACACTTACCCAGTTCCTTGCCAGCTTATACTTTAAGGCTCAAAGGGACAGGGGTCACTTTTGGGAAACTCTGTCCAGCAGCGCCCACTTGCTGCTGGCAGAGCTTGTCTCAGGCCCCTAGTGCTAGGGGGCACCAAGATTCAAAAACACGATCCCACAATCATCCCACGCCTGCTTAGACCCAAATATTAAGACTTGGGTTAAAAATAAGATATTGTTTTAGAATTGAGAGAGCCCTAACATGTCAACATGTTATTTTCTCTAGGTAATATCTATGCAAGTTGAATCTCACAGATGCCATTTCCCATTCATATCTATTTGCACATACATGATGTCTTCACAAACTTAAATTTGGTAACCACAGAGCTCATAGGCTGGACTTAAACAGTCATAAGACCACCAGCTTTTGGGTTCTAATACAAAATTGATCACCTTCTATGATTCCAGGCTTCCCTGGTGGCTCAGTGGTAAAGAATCCACCTATCAATGCAGGAGACACAAGTCTGATCCCTGAGTTGGGAAGATCGCTGGAGAAGGAAATGGCAACCCACTCCAGTATTCTTGTTTGTGAAATGCCAAGGACACAGGAGCCTGGTGGGCTACAATCCACCGGGTCACAAAAGAGTTGGATACAACTTAGCGACTAAACACCACCACAAGGTGAAAATACCAGAGATTTAGGTGTTTAGAGAAGGAAAAAGAGAAAAGGCCTCCAAATTAAATATGCACATTCACAATTAAAGGTATCTCAATTACAGAAGTGTGAAAATGTAGAGAAAAAAGTGTATGCCTCAGAAGCAAAAAAATGAGTGAATTCTTAAGACAATTTGCTTCTTCTGTCCAAGTGAATGAAATAATGCACTGGCCCTTCAGTAGTCACTAAACCACAATTGCTTAAATAGCTACAGCTAATACCATTATCCAGTTGTGCCTCTGAGTTATAACTCAGAGTGTAGCTTTACACCCTGGGCTTAAAAGACTCATGGCTTTTGTTTTAATATTGCACTTCTTAAACCCAGCTATCACAACACATCACAGGCCTCTGAAATAAGGCTTGGACATAGATAGCTCGGTTAGTATCAAGTGCTGCCTAAATCCTTAAATAATAAGCAGATTTGGAGTCTATTTCTCTCAGAAACAACACAGTGATGGCTACGGATTGTAACATGACACCTCTGTGGCAACTCAGCACACCTAAGAGCACTGAAAGACATTACCAGTTAATGGAAACCAGTAATCAGAGGGATGTTTGACAAGTTAAGAGTGCTTTGAAAATATAAATTATTTCTTAAAAAAAAAAAGAAAATATAAATTATTTCTGAAAAGAATTATGATATTATCATTAAAGCTAGGCTCCTTATATGTTTCTCCCTATTGCAAATTAAAGATTTATTAAATTCTGGTTAAAAAAATAGATTCCTATATGTCTACTGAGCAACATTTTATTTGTGTGGAACAGTTTATAGTTTAAAAAAAAAAAGACATTTTAGCTAAATTATTCCCCTGAATAATCCTGATATTTTATAACCTTTAAGATAGAAGAACCCATGACAAAGTGGTTCTACGTGACTGGCTCAGGGCTTGATAAATTCATCATAACTTCTGCCTTAATGTTTTGCAAAATACATGTATCACTACAACATCCTGAAAGTGAAAACAATGTATTTATAGAACATCCTTCAGGAGATCTCACAGACAGTTTTCATTACAGAGTGCAATGTTTTTACTATATACACCAAAGAAAAATAACTGCACTCAATAATAGAGCCTTTAACTTAAATATATGAGCAAGCAAACATAAAATTGGTTGAATACATGAAGACTCACAACTAGATGGCCACAATGGGCTTAATCCCCATTTCTTGGTAAATAAATGGCAACAAAAGAATTAAAAAAAAAAAATCCATGCAACCTAAGAGCAAATCAAAATTCGTGTTCCCTTGCAGTTCTATGTGGTTTTCATTCTAGAGACTTGGAGAAAAGCTAGACTGCTGCTACACTTGTTCTTTATAGTACTTACATCAATTATAATCATGTAAATTTTTGTATGGTTCTGTGTTTCCCACCAGATGATTTCTTTGAAGACAGGAACCATGTTCATTTTGTTCACTGCTGTATTCCCTATGCCGAGCACAAAGACTGGCACATAGTAAGCACTCAGTAAATGTTTTAAATGAATGAATGAATTTCATCACCATTTCCATTCTCTTTTTTGAACATGCGTCTTAGTTTACTATCTTCTATGAAGGGCTTTAGCTTGAATCTCATAAAAGCAATTTAAAAGTTGAATTCAATCTATATCATTCACTTTCTTCTTCAATTATTGCAGACCTTGCAACTTCCACACAACTCCACATACTCAGAGAGAAGGAATTCACCAAGTTATAGGGCATCCAGTTTCACTGAGGCCTACAGGCCCACGCTCTATTAAAACCTTTCATTTGGAAGGTGAGAGAAGTCACAAAAAAGCACAGTATCAGTGAAGATACACATTGGCATGTGTTTTATCACTATGTGCTTTTAATAGAAAAAAATCAGGATGAACAAAAGTAGCATTGCTGGAAAACAAAGCACAGGAGAGGGGGTGGAAAAGTGAGTCACTGGCAAGAATCTTTAGTGTGGTGGGGAAAAAAGGGAAGACGTGTATTTCCATACCTCAATTAGCTTGTCTCCTTTGACTACATCCAGATGTAAACCAGGAGGGGGTTTACCTGCCCTGAAAAGTAACAGTGAAAAAATATTTTCAGGATGAGTTTGCAAATGCCATTTACAATCATTATCCCATTCAACACTGCAGCTCTCCTACCAGCCTATAATTAGTTCATGTTCAAGCGCAGAAATGTCATCTACAGTTATTATAATTCCTTTCTGCATTTGACACTTACCTCCTCAGTGATTCAACTACTCTAAAACATATTTCAGGGGATCTATATTTAGAGCAGCACCAAAGAAACCTGTATTTTAACACTGAATTATCTACCTTGGAGAGAAAGCAGCACAGAGAATGCAAGTACTATAGTTAGGGTTGTCTGGTCACTTGGAGTTTGATTCTAAGATTGCCACTACCAATAATACCATACAAAGGTAGAATAAATCAGTTGGTGTCTGGGGCTGATCAAGGTAGACTTATCACAGAATAAACAGAGGGTACTGTCCTGAGATCTGAGGTCAAACCAGACACATAATTTAGGCAGTTAGGGCAATCCAAAACTATGCCATGAAACCAGGTACCAATAAATAAAAAAGATATTTTGAACAGGTCATTCTACAATGGCATGTATAAGGGAATTTTTCTCTATACTCCTATAACCATACCATCCAAGGGAGACACATATATGTCAAAGCACCTAACACAGTGTCTGGTGCACACCAGAAGTTAAGGAAATGGTAAGTGATCTTATACAGTCTCTTCTAACTATAAATTTACTATCCTGGCCCAGTAAACTTATAGTTAGAAGCCATAAGTAAACATTCTGAAATCAATGCGGCAAGGAACCAAAATGGACACAATTTGCAGACTGGAGCAACTGTGTGTTGCAGAAGTGCAAAGGGACTCAGAAAATAGCTACACATTCACTTGTTTCCTGTGTTTGCGCCTCTGAAGTTTGAAGGAAGAACAATCTTGCCAGATCCCCAACATCTAGGTACACGCGCGCGTGCATACACACTAAACACAAATGCATTCATTTACATCTAACTGAAGATACAACACAGTCATCTCACAAGTCTGACCCAACTCCTCTATGGTGGTTGCTGGGAGGACAGTGCATTGGACAAAAGCCCATTTTGTCTGGAAAACAGGGAAAGCCAAGTTACATCCAAAATATGCTTTCTGAACTCCTACCATGTGTCTGGCTCAGGCCTAGGAACTGTGACTATAAAGATGCATTAGGCAGCCCTTGCCCTTGAGGGGTTCAATATAACGGAGCCAGAGAGTAACACACACATAACAATACACTGTTATGAGCAGAAATAGCTCTAACTCGGATGGGTCGCCTTGCCAGGCAATTCATATAATTCTTCGTGTACTCCACTCAAAGACTAAAATTATTCCATTATTCCCAAGAACTTGTGAAGGGAAGAAAGGGGTTCTTCCTAACAAGCAAGGATGCCCTCTGGTGCCCGACTTCGCGCCAGTGGCTGAGAGCGCAGAGGTAGGTCAGAGCCGTTCCGGCCCTCAGGGAGCTCCCAGTCAGCGAGACACAGGCAAGGATCGCACCAGGCTGCAGTTAACAACCGCGGGATGCGAGGTTCCGAGCGGGGATCGGGGCCAGGAAGCTAGCTCGCGCGCGCTCGGGACAAGAGAGCGGGGGGCAGGTACCGGGATCCACAAGAGCACCAGGCACTCAGTCAGCAGGCACTCAGTCAGGAGTTGGGGTAAGTTCGAGGCCAAGGCCCCGAAGCGCCCCGGCAACCGGCTGACTGCCCGAGGGGCTGCCTAAGCCAGCGCCTCAGAGCCCCCAACTCTGGGTTTCCTCAGTTTCTGGGCCCGGGCTCCGAGCTTCAGGTTCCTCCACACGCCGCCCGGCCCGACGGACAGTTCTCCCTCAGTCAGCCCCAAGATGTCTGGGCCGTTCGGCTCGCTGCGAGAAATCAGCCGCCTGGCCGGCACAGGCCAGCGCAGGCCAGGCCACTTCAGCGCTGGTCGCCCCGCCACTCACCAGGTCGGGCAGTCGAACAGCGGGAGGCTGGAGCCGGAGTTCGCGGCTGCCGCCATCTTGCGTCTCCCCCTCCCATTTGGCGGGCCCTAAGCACGCTGGGAAACTGGAAGACCCAGAAGGGAAGAGGCGGCTTCCCAGCGGCCTGTGCGTCTGCGCGCGCACACACCCACCCACGCACGCACGGACGCACCGACGCACAGCGCGTTGTAGTAACGGTGGAGACTGGGGTCCTGTTTAGGGGTGTTTTTCAGGGTTTGAGAGTTGACTTTCTCTGGAGGCCAGGGCTTCTCTCGGTCGGCAGTTTTCTGAGGAAAATGGGCTCGTAGGGAAGGGTTCTGTTTCCCTCTACGTTCTTTTTTCAAACACGCTTCCAGGCTCTAAAGTCTTGTGATGCCACCCTTGCTCTGGGCTCGCACCGTCAGCCTTTTTACTCCCAAGACGGCGAGAAGTTAAGAGGGTATAGGGATTAGGGATTGGAAAAACACCAGTCTCTTGTTTCTCTTCTAACGGTCCTAAGAAGCTACCTTTCGGGATCGTGTAAACTCTAGACAAACAGGAGCCAGGGACGGATCCAACCAGATGGCAGGCGTCCAGATCATCAAAATGCATGAATGAAAAGCTTATTTAATCAAGTGGAGGCCTCTTTGGATTTTAAAATTTTGGTCATAGTGACTAGATTGTATAAGGAAGACTTAGGATTCAGGAGTGCGTTTGTCCAACAGCTGAGTGAACGATCATCAGCAGGGCTTCTGGTTGTAATGGCTTATATCTACTGAGTGCTTATTTGGGCTAGAATGTAGTTTATGTGGATCATCGCATTTAATCCTCAAAACTCTCTTTGAAATAGGTATTATGATCCCCGAGGGGAGGCTCAGAGAGACTGAGTTGCCCAGCCTCACTCTAGAACGAGTGGGATTCAAACCTAAATCTGTATGAGGCCAAAGCCCATGCTCTTGAATCATCACTCTGTCTCATACTTTGATGTTGGTACGGTCATATTTATTATTAGCATGCAACTGAAGCCCAACACTTTTTCAGTTTTGTAGAAAACATGAGAGGATTATCCAACCTGTTTTTTTCATTTAAGGAAACCAAATGCAAAATTACTGTTCACCTATAAAGAGGCATTGCACAGCAAATTATCTCTTTCTCTGGTGGAGTTCTTGTCCTGATTCCCTACTACTGGTCCTCTAGATTTTAAATCGAACATCAACCTGTTCAAAAGATTTTGCCCTGGGTGACATCTCCAGGCATAACTGTAGCATAATATTAACTTAGAATTTAAACTGATCAACTCTTAGGAGAATACCATTTTCCACTGGTCTTCAAAAGCACAATAAACTCATCCAGCAAGGATATTAACTGGTCAGATCACTTTTTTTTTTTTGGCTGCATCCGTGGCTTTCAGGATCTTAGTTTCCTCACCAGGGATTGAACCTGGGCCACAACAGTGAAAGCACCAAGTCCTAACCACTGGACTGCTAGGGAATTCCCTCAGATCACTTATCAAATGAACAGGTTAATATACCCCCTTTTCCAGCCCTGCGATTCCAAAGATAGACTAGGCCAATAGTTCTAAACTTGGTTTCAGGAAAACAGGCTATAGCTCCCTCCTTTGAGCACAATGACTTGATTCTTAAAAAGAATTAAATAGTCTCAAGTGTTTTCAGTGTAACAGAAAAAGAGAAGGTACTTTTTATCTGGAGAGATTGTGTGGGCCTTTGAGGTCCTATGCCCTTTTCAGGCATGAGGTGGTACTGAAGCCATTTCTAGCTGTCAGTGACCTTAAGAACATGTCAGCTTTGTCTTTCAATTTCTCAGCTTCCATGGGTGGTCCATTATTTAATCCCTTATAATGCTGAATATACACCCAAGAAACCTAAAACTACATTCTTACCCTTATAATTCTTTATTCCTCGGCCATTTTCCCTGTTTTCAGCACAGCTAATATTCACACTGACTGCTGATGTGATGTAATGGCACATTTACCTAGGCCTTATAAAGCAAAATGCTCTTTGTTTGGGCACCAATGATGTCAGTACAGATATGCAAACTAGAGGACAGCAGTCTAGGAGGTGAACCTTTTGAAATGTAAAGACTGATGGACTAGCTGCCAATGGGTTTTGGTATCTCAAAAAAGAGTAATTTCTTAGACTTTGAGACTTCCTTAGAATAGAATCTAAAGACATAAGGAACATACTGATATCAAAAAAACTTCCTTAGAACATCTTTGATATGATCAAATGGAGACACTGAAAAAAATGTTTGTATACAGATGGTGCATCAGGAAACTTCATTTAGCCGGGTGGTGAACAAAAAATTTACAAGGTGCTAAGAAAAGAAATGATGTTCATGAAAAGTGAATAGAAATTGCCATTACTCCAGATTGTTAAAGCTTTGTGAAAGAGGTGGTGGGCAGGACAGTTTGTATTAGTGATGAACGGAGACAGTGTATAGTGTCTAAAGGTATGGTTTTAAAGTCTGTATGCTTGAGATCAAATCCTGGCTCCACTGCTCCTAAACTGTGTGCCCTTGGCCAGGTCACTTACTATGCCTCAGTTTCCTAATCCATAAAAAGAGGACAAGAAAAATAATCTCTTCAATGATTTTGTGGCTATAAGATGATAAATGTAAAATATTTAACATAGTGAATTGTTTGTAGTAAGGGCTTCAATATCACCCCACAAATGACCAATGAGAGCACTTCCACAAGCCTTTAAATTCCTGTAGTAGACCACCATCCTTGGCCTTAGCTTCTTCAGCTGTAAAGCGATGGGTCTAGTCTAGATGAGTGATTCAGACATTAGAGATGTCATGGACTAGGGGAAAAAGAAAATACTACAGGGGTCTCAACTTTTATTTTGCCAACTAAATGAAGACTGTGACCTAACATCACCACCTTTTCATTTTCATAATCTTTTTAAAAAGTGAGGGAGCCATTAGCTCAAAGACGGCACTTTAAAAAGCCCACTAACATTATTTTTCTCATTTCTCCACGGACTGTAAAAATTTGGTCCTCAATCAGAGTCTCACATTAAAAGTTCTATTATTTCAAGTTTATCTCTTTTAAAAATTAAGAACTATTTTGTCAATCAAATTTCATTTTGGATAAGGATTCAAATGAACTCCTCAGTTGACCTAAAAGCAGATCAAGGGTTAGAATCAAAATCTTTCAAGCTATTCCCTGGCAAGGTGGAGATTCTGAAGTAGGTGTAATTCATAGTACTGGAAAGCAATACTGAAAAATTCTTTGAAACCTAGGGATACCCTAAACATGCTTAGAAAAGCAGGGATGAAGCAGGTGATTCCTACTCCTAGAAACATGATAGAATTGGGTTCTGTTTAACACTGAGTTGGGTTCTGGTCTGCATTTAGTAACCAAAAGTGAAAGTTTCATTCCCATGGCTGAGAACTGCCTCTGAACAGAAGAAGGGGGAAAAAAAAAAAACCCAAAAAACAAAAACTGAATGGAGGAGGCTCAAGGTGTTTTAATTTTCACTGACTGAAGCATAATTTCATTTTGATATTTTTGCCAGTGGTACAAGGGAGTGTATCTCCACTCCTTAACAAAACAAAACCTGTTCAGGGAGCACAGATCTAGCAGCTAGCAAGTTCCTGTTCTCGAATATTCACAGAGGAAGTGGCCCGCAGGACACTTCTACTCTACCCTATACTACAGTGCTACAATTTTAATTCACTTGAAGAGAAAACATTCCATAAAGAAAGGAGAAAGGGAGAAAGAGAAAAGGAAAGGAATACAGAGACAAACAGAATCTGTATGTTCAGACTAAACTCTTGTGATCTTTATAATCAGAGAATTTAAAGCTATAAAAGAGTAACTGAGAACACTTGGGGCCTATGGGTTAAGAAACTTGTTCAAATACCTACAGTGAGTAAACGAGAGAGTTAAGATTCTCCAGGCCTTCTGTACCCCAGTCTAGTTTTTGACCTCCAAACCAATGGTTTTCAGCCATGGTTATACCTGAGAATTATCTGGAGCTTTAAAAGTCCCTGTATCTAAGCTATAACCCCCACTAACTAAATTAGAATCTTGTGGCAGGGGGTACCAAGATATCAGTATTTTTTTTTGTTTCTAATGTGAAGCCAATAGTTAAGAACATCACTGCCCTAAACCATGGTGCCCTCAAGGTGGACGAAGCACAGATAAGGATGATTCTGTGAACAGGTTTCTTAGGCCCATTTAGCAGAAGCTCTTGGTAACTACTACAAGTTCCAGGCCATTGCAATTCTAGTCCAAGGTCATATTTGCGACCCAAGATTACAATTACCACACCACCATGGGATTACATAGTATTATAGAACAGAACTATGGTGGCTTCATTTAACCCAAACTGAAAAGTGTTTTGTTTTGTTTTTTACAATCAAGCCTTTTTTTTCTTGCCTGGAGTGTTATAAATGATGTATTCAGGTCCAACTATAATTTAGAGCTGAAGGGGCAGTGATTGTAGAACCAATGAATTAGCTCCGAAGCTGCTGCCCGGGCCTCTGTGACACCCCAACAGCTCTATTCTGTTCTTCAAGGAAAGGGCCTCTTTCCCCCCGCCCCAACCAGTCCTCACCTGATCCCCAGTTTTCTTGCAGGTCTCAGTTTTTCTCTGGACAGCACATCATCCAGCATCTACTGCATTAGGATGTTAACGCATAGAAACTTATAATAGAAGCTTTTAAAATGTTTATTTGTATTACGACGGTGAAATGGTGCAAGAGTGCAAAGAAACTATTTAGCCCTTGTTTCCCTGCTGTTCACATTATTTTAGTAAAAGAAGATTAAGTAACATTAAAAGGAATGGAAGAAGTAAATATAAATATACCCAGCCAAATCCTCTAATTCACTAAAGGATGAACTGAAATTGTTGGCCCAATTCATAGTTATTGAGAACCTAAAAAAATTACTTCCCCTGTAACTTCCCTAGACCTGTGAAAAAGGGGAGTGGACAACATTTATATTACAAGACAGCAATCTTTTATTGAAACATTTTTTGTGTGTCTAAAACTATGCATGGAGAGATTAACCTCTTGTTCATAAATTAGGGTAATTCTAACATCACTATTCCAAACCAATATTATTTACAAAAAAAGAAACCTTTCTTTGCTTTCTTGCCAGTTCACAGGACTAAATTTTAAACCAACTTCAGTCTAGCTTTTAAAATTTCCCTGCCATCATATGCCCAGCAAACCTTATTAGGGTAGGGGGCAGCCTTTTGATGGCAACAATCATCATTTACCAGGAATGTAGAACCACAACTGAGCAACAACAACAAAAGATTAAATCATTCCAAACAATTCCTATTTGCTTTCCAAAAGCATGCTTTGTCTAATTCTCCCATTCTATACAGACAGGTGGGAGAGAAACGCCACAGAGCATCGTAATGTTAATTAAATTAACCTCTTCAAAAAGTGGACAAGATGGTTTAGCGTATATATGGATGAACTGCAGTCAATGACACTAACAAGTAATAAACTTTAAACCTAGATGAACACATATCCCCAATAGCTGGCCAGCTCAAATCATTACTTCTCATTTAATCTGGATCACATGTGCAATTTTTCACTCTCTAGTTAAATACATTGCCAAAATTTTTCAAAGCATATAGGGAACAGACTTCTTAGAAATTCAAATTACAATGTTAAATAATAAAAACTGCTGGCTTATTATACAGTTTCTGACAAACTCCAATGTGCTGGGTGACAGAAAGTAATTCTATCTCAGTTGCTAGTAAAAAGGTAAATCTTGTATATACATAAAAAGACAATATTACAAGACTGTAGTGTTAACCTACTAAAACAAGAATATCTAGAATGGAATTTTCAGTAAACACTTGGGATGATGAGCAATCAGAATACAAGAGAAAAGAAAATCCACATAAATTAATTCTTAATTTGAGAAATCAATAAAATGTATACACAAACTGATAAATACTGTCTCCATAGGTCACTAATTCCAAGGACTAGTTAGTAGTTAGTTTCTAACTAAATTATTACAAGACATTCTGGTGTATTCTCTCTTCTTATGATCAGTTTGTTCTGGCAAGACTCCAACAAGCACTTGCCCTTGAAAACAGCTCAGCAGGAGAAGGCTGGAGGCAATCACTTCATTTATTAACTATCCACAAAATAAATCCCAAGATTACAATAATCACTGTCAGGACAAGCACCAGGATACAGATCTTCTTGCGAGATTTTTTCTGAGGAGAAAAATATGTAAAGAAGACACTCATGAAACAAGTAAAAAATGTTTATAAGACTCAAAGAGTGCTTCATCAATCAGCCTCCTGGTAATGCAAAATGAAACTCTGTGTATGATTATGCAGACACCGTCTCAAAAATCTCAAGGTACCAGTGCTAGACAGCAGTACAAGTTCTCATTCAATGCTCCCAAATACAATTTTGCAAAGGAACTGTTTATGTTGCAAGGTGTTATTTGCCATAAAACAAGTTATTTGTACATGTGTATTTGAATAAAGGTTTTATACCTATTATAAAATTTTATGTTCACTGTAAAAAATACAGACAAGCAGAAGAGAAAATAATCACCCACAGATAAAACAGCTGACATTTTAATTGTATTTCCTTCTGATCTTTTATCCAGGCACATTTATCTAACATAATTGGGACCATACTGTATCATGTCTGATGGTTTTCTCACTCAATATTTTAGAATAAAATTTGTGATATTATAAACTCTTCATAAACATCTCTTTTAATTCCCACATAAAATAACATGAAGTGGATGTATATAATTTACTTGACTGTTCTTTACTGTTGGATATTAAAGTCATCACTCAGTTTTTAAAAGGAAACTATTGTTAAATACAAATTTCTTTAAGAACAGTCCCAGGGGAAATACAATTATCTTAGGAACATGGTAAATGACTAAATGCTATTTGTTTCTAAAAAGCCATGCAACACCAGGTTGAGGAGAAATGAGAAGAACCTCATTCACAACATGTGTAAACTGAGGTGAAGACCTGGATAAAGTTCATAAAACCAGAGTTTCAACTAGTATGTAGAAAAATATCACTTTACAGAAAGTAGAACAATTAACCCCTATTTGTTCACAGCAAAATAACCCCCATATAAGCCCCAATTAATTCATACATAAACAGCAGTCCAAGTTGAGTCTGTCCATTTTCTGTGGCAACAGTCAACATACATTATCTGCAAAGTCCTACTTTGTACCTATATCCTAACTGAAACAAATTTCAGCTGTTTAGGTTAGAAAATTAGCCTTACCCTAAATCAGGTATCATGCTAGCTTACGGGGATAGCTTTGTAGCTAAGAGGCTTCTATGTCAGTTTATTCAAAGTTTGATACTTTTTTTGTAGATCTCTCTGCAAAGGAAAATACTAAAAATGGAGCTGGGATGGCAATTATGACTACCTGCCTCCAGCTTAAGACTAAACAAATGGCTGCAGCTGTTCTCAACGCGTCAGTGACTCTGATGGCCCCCAGAGTCTACAGCACAGAGTGACTTTCTTTTGTACCTGCTTTTACCTGATAGTAAGCAGCTCGCTGTAGCTGGTCAGTGGCTCTTTCTACATGCACCTCTGAGCTTTCCACGTTGGCTTCTATGCTGTCTGCAAAAAAGAAGGGCAGTGGATGTTTTACCACAGTCAGATGTTTCAAGACTGCAAATTGAAGAGAATTCTAATGCTAAGGATCCTGTTCACCACCATCACTCCAACTATCCAGCCATGAGATCAAAAGTTACCAGCCCCATAAGAGAATAGCCCTCTTCTTTGGAAATAAACACTGAAGAATTATTTAGAGGTAGAGGATTATGAAGTATGCAAATCATCCACAAATAGTTCAGAAAAAAATCAGGTAAATACATAGAAAGAGTGCAAATAAAAAGCAAATGTGGTAGAATGTTAACAAGAAGTAAATCTAAGTAAAGCTTATAAAGGAGTTCCTTGTTATTTTCATTTTTGCAACTTTTTGTGAACTTGAAATTATTTCCAAATAAAAAGTTTTTTTAAAAAGGGTTTCGAATCCCATAGTTGTGCAAGTTTCTGAAGATAAAAACTGAGAAGCTGACAGCTATTTCCCTAAACAACCAAAGACTTACCATGAGGCTACGGCAAGTAGCTATTCATGGAAGCCTCATTTTAACTTCCACATTTGACAACGTAAGAAAATTGCTAAGAAAATTAATTTAGTGATTTTTAAATGGTATTCCTAGATTCCTAAGACACAGCTTACTGACTTCTTTGCATACAAAAACTATCCACTCACCTTCATGTTAAAGGTATCAATAATACATACCAATGAGATCACCTTGGTCGTGGATCATCATGGCCAAATCTTTAAATATCTGATTGACATCCAAAATATCAGCCTAAGGAACACACACACAAAAAAATTAACCAACATTAAGTAACATGTTGGAAGATTCATTTCCTCTACTTACCTAAAGTTCTGGCTACTAACAACACATGTGTTTTTAAAGCTTATAAATCAGGCTTTCTCTATAAACAGAAAATGAAAATGAAGTTAATTTATTAACACTTACTAAATGACTTCTGTATGCAGAGTACTATGCCAGGTAGGTAATTAGAAGCACAGTCTCTTGGAGCCTGACTATCAGTTACAGAGGACTGTTAACCCTCCACAGTCTTGTTCAACCTTAAATTAAGAACTTCTCTGGACCTCCCTACTAAAATGTGGACAATGACAGTACCCATCTCATAGGATTTTCAGAAATACTAAATAAAAAGTTCTTAGAACTATGCAATAACCACTTCGTAAGTGTTAGCTATTACTAACTATTACTTAACTGGTCCTCTGGAGAAGGAAATGGCAACCCACTCCAGAATTCTTGCCTGGAGAATCCTGTGGACAGAGGAGCCTGGTGGGCTGCTGTCCATGGGGTCACACAGAGTCGGACATGACTGAAGCGACTTAGCGTGCGTGCGTGCGTAACTGGTCCTCATGAAAACCCAATAAGACATGTATTATCTCCATTCTACAGAAAAGGAAAGTCAAGGCTCAAAGAATTTAATGACTTGTCCTAAGGTCTCACAGCTACACATGGCAAAACTGAGAATTAAAAGTTCATGATGGGCTTTCCTGGTGGTCCAGTGATAAAGACTCCATCTGCCAAGGCAGGGGACACACGTCTGATCCTTGGCCTGCACTCTAGAGCCTGTGCTCTGCAACAAGAGAAGCCACCACAATTAGAAGCCTGCGCACCACAACGAAGAATAGCCCCAGCTCTCTGAACCTAGAGAAAGCCCTCAGGTAGCAATAAAGACCCAGCACAGTCGTAAGTAAATAAATAAATAATCTTTTTAAAAGTTCACGATGTTTGAATTAATCATTCAGTAACTCTTATGAGGTAAATGTCTTCTTTGCGGATAATGAGGCTCAGAGAGGTTATGTAACTTGTCTAGTCACACAATTCATCAGTGAGGAAACTTAAGTTCTGCAGCCAGGATTATATTCCTAAAGCCCACGCTCTTTCAATAAGCAATGTGCTGCCTCTCAGATGCTACAATAAAAAAATGATACCTTCAAAGCAATGACTTCCTAATCACAACTTGGCAAGAACAGTTCCAGCCAGCACCTCCGTTACTTGTTAAGAGTCTACTATAGTTAGGACAGTTGGCTAGTTGCTGTGAATATAAAAGGGCTTAATAATAGTTATCTGGGGGTGGAGGTGGGGTGGAGGGATCAGTATACAATAAGAGAAGTATGAAGAAAGGGTATTATATGGTAAATGACTAATAAATAGTATAGCATTTACCTCAAGCAGAGAAGGAAGATTATGGCAGAAGAAGCAGGACTTAAGAAGCCATATACACAGAAAGGTAACTGGGTTAAAGAAAAAACAGCCCAGTTTGGCTATAACATGGGTGTGATATTATGATTCATAATAAGAAATACATATTTGATCTTTGTCCCAATCCCAGCACAGAGCTCCTAAAATTTTTTTCTAAGTGATAAAAGAGATAAAGATGTCCTTTTTTATTCAAAACAAACCCTTTCAACCACTCCTGAGTTTATGTTAATAGCTTGGCTTTTGGAAAACCCCTAAAGATAGGGGCTAGTTGCCAGGGGAACCAACCTGGTGTTTAGTTGGTTGGAACTTTCAGCCCCAGTTCCGACCTCTGGGGAGGGGATGAGGGCTCAAGGTTAGATCAATCACCAAAGGCCAATTATAATCAATCATGCCCATGTAACCAGAAGATCAGAGAGCTTCTTGGTTAGTGAACACATGGAGATATGGGGAGTGAAGTGGGCCTGGAAGCCATGCATGCGTGCGAGCTCAGTCACTTCAGTCGTGTCTGACTCTTTGTGACCCTATGGACTGTAGCCCACCAGGCTCCTCTGTGCATGGGATTCTCCAGGCAAGAATACTAGAGTGGGTTGCCATGTCCTCCTCCAGGGGATCTTCCCGACCCAGGGATCGAACCCGCGTCTCCTGAGTCTCCTGCACTGCAGGCGGATTCTTTGCCGCTGAGCCACCGGGGAAGCCCCATGGAAGCCATGTACCCTGGCCATATACTTTGCCCTATGCATCTCTTCCATCTGGCTCTTCCTGAGCTGTATCCTTTTATAATAAACCAGTAAATGAGTAAACAGTTTTCTTAAGTTCTGTGAGCTGCTCCAGCTAATTAATCAAACCCAAGAAGGGGGTTGTGAGAACTTCCAATTTCCAACCTGTTGGTCAGAAGCACAGGTGATAACCTGGATTTGCGACTGGCACCTGAAGTTGCTGAAAGGGGGTCAGTCTTGTGCGATTGAACCTTCAGTCTGTGGGATCTGAGGCTAACTCCAGGAAGACAGTATTAGAACTAAGTTGCACTGTAGCACATCCTGATAATGTGGCAGAATTGCTTGATGTGGGGGAAAAAACACATATTTGGTGACCAGAGTGTGAGAAGTATAGAGTGGGAGTAGAAGAGAAACACAGGAGTGTGTTGCTGCACTGTTAGAACAGGGTTTGCATGTTAGATGCAGGAAATGACTGGATACGAAAAAGCAACGGCTAAGGAATTAGACCTTGATTCTGCTGAATGTGAACTGCCCGTTACACTCCTCTCCTCAGCTCCACACATCTCATTCTACTCTCGGCTAGACAGGATTTCTCATGTTAAAGAATCAATTAGATGATTAGTAGCAACAGATGAGAAAGAAAACACATGACATCTCTGAAGTCAAACTTTGGGCTTTCCCCAATGGCTCAGCCGGTAAAGAATCCACCTGTAATGCAGGAAACACAGGAGATATGTGTTCGATCCCTGGGTTGGGAAGATCCCCTGGAGTAGGAAATGACAACCCACTCCAGTATTCTTGCTTGGAGAATCCCTTGGACAGAGGTGTCTGGCACGTCCATGGTGTCGCAAAGAGTCAGACATGACTAAGTACGAGCACAAGGATGAACTGTTTCATCAAAAAAGAGAGAGCAACAACAAAATTCTGTAAAGCAATTATCCTCCAATTAAAAAAATAAATTAAGAAAAGAAGTATCAAGAAAAAAAAAACAGAGGACTCTAGGGCAGTGTGTCTCAACCTTGACTGTACTTTGTAATCACCTGGGAAGTTTATAAGATAAAAAATGGCCCCACCCAGGGCTTCCTGTGGATGTTTGCCCATTTTTAACCTATAAAAAATTAAGAAAATCACACGCAGTCCAAACTAGTAATTGGTGGGTGGATGAGAAGAGCTGGGGCATTAAAAAAAAATCTCCAAGTGATTCTAAAAGCGCTGTCAAGGTCCAGAACCACTGCCACAAATGAAGGTCAAGGAGGAGGTCAAAGGTTCTCCTCTCTACAACCCTCCCCCCATCACTGCCCCCAAGATGGCAGTCTTCCATCTCCATGGAGAAAAGTACTCAGGTTTAAGGATATTTTACTGGTCATCATGCAAAAAATTAAAGTTGGAAACTCAGGTAAGAAAGGCCTTGAGACCTCTCTCTCAACACTCACCTCAAAAATTGTTCCTGTTTCTCTGACTCACTGATGAGATACCCACAATTTGGGATTAGACTTTCGGATACACAAAAATGGAGCAAATCTTTTGGCCTGTCTTTATTCTGGGTTATTCAGACTAAGAAAAGGACTCTCCATAGAGCCCCACAGAACCTAGAGATTGGCACTGAGGTTTGGGACAATGTCTTAATAAAATATTTGCTGGCCTTGCTCTGTTCTCTGCGGGTATTCTCATGCAGACCATACAAAATATGGTGACTGAGGAGGGGGTCCAGATATCCTCATGCACCATGACCAATACCATCCTAGTGAAGTGTGAAAGTTGCTCAGTCGTGTCTGACTCTTTGTGACCCTGAATTCTCTTTGTGGTCTGAATTCTCCAGGCCAGAATACTAGAATGGGTAGCCGTTCCCTTCTTCTTCAGGGGATCTTCCCAACCCAGGGATTGAACACAGGTCTCCCGCATTGCAGACGGATTCTTTACCAGCTGAGCCACCAGTAAAGCCCAAGAATACTGGAATGGGTAGCCTATCCCTTCTCCAGGGGATCTTCCCAACCCAGGCATCAAACCAGGGTCTCCTGTATTGCAGGTGGATTCTTTACCAGCTGAGGTCCCAGGGAATCCTGATATGATCATTAACAGTAGTTCATATTCACCATGATTACACTGAGACATAATATGCAAACCATACAACTCATTTCATCCTTTCTCATAATTACTGAGAGAAAAACCAGATTGCAGATACACTGAGTCAAACAAAAAACATGACCTGGCCCTCACCTCCAGCTGCCGAATTGCCGTCTCCCTCTCCTTAATAAGCTCCAGGTCCTGTTCAGTGATGGCCACCTCATCCTCCTGTCTCTGCATCTGGTTCCATTCCTCATGGCTGCAGAGAGACAAGCACATGGGCTGATTCCTCCCCGCAAAGGTGGTCATAAGACATATCATCTCTGCTGTCAGCAGAGCCTGTTCAAAGACAGTACCAGGCCTCCAACTCCTCTGGTAACAATACAAGTCCCTGGGGGTTACATTCTTCACATCCAGAGGCAAAGAAAGGGTAACACCAAGAAAACCAGGTCTCAGCTTTCATGGGCAAAACCAAGAGGAGGCAGAATCACAAGGGATGGAGCTCCTTGCTGTTTCCATTCAGGAGTACACTCTATAATCTTGCTAGACAAGAAGCGGGCAGAGATGTTAAATCTCTGGCCCATTCTCTCCCAGGGCACTCTCAAAGTGCAAGCTGTGTTGGTATCTCAGGTACTAAATGGGTAGAGAAGAGCACGTTAAGTGATCTGTCAGTGCTTCACCAATTAGTCTGACAGAATCATATCTCCCAGTTTTCAAGACTCTCTTTGAGGCTGTTAAACATCTCTTAATAGAAAACCAAAGTAAAAAAGCTAATGAAATGTTACAACTCTTCTTTTCTGGTACCATATTTCGAAGAAAGGCATATGACATACGAGACATGCACCTTGAAAATTCAGTATTAAGCGCCTTTCCAGTAGTACACATAAATCACATGTCATCTCCACAATACTTAGAGAATTTTCTCCATGTTCTGGAGATAAAAAACAGAGAGAAAGAGCACTCCAGACCTCTGAGGTGCTCATAGTATAGTGGTGGCAAGACAGATGCATACCTGTGACAAAATACTTTATGTTCTGAACTAATACCATCAATACATTTCTATGGAATTAGTTAATTCAGTTTGGAGGAGAAAGGAGATGTTCTGTAGATACAAATCGTTTGCTTTTTCTAGGGTTGCCTCCATTTTAGGGATGAGTAAACAGAAACCCAGGAACTTTGAAGAACTTAAATCTGAATTACACATAAAATTTCAACCCTCCTAATTTGTAGGTTTTGGGGTTTCTATTTATTCCTCTTGAGCCAAACCCTCTCCTCAACACACAGACATCAGAGATTTCTTGAAAGTTTTTTATTCACTTTGAAATTATCCCTTTCATAATTCAAAGATCATGGGAAAGCCCGTTTTGACTTTTTTAATTTTATGGATTATAAATTACCTACCCCAGGGCTCTTGAGAGTCCCTTGGACTGCAAGGAGATCAAACCAGTCAATCTTAAAGGAAATCAGTCCTGAATATTCATTGGAAGGACTGATGCTGAAGCTGAAGCTACAGTACTTCGGCCATCTGATGTGAAGAACTGACTCACTGGAAAAGACCCTGATGCTGGGAAAGATTGAAGGCAGGAGAAGGGGACGATAGAGGATGAGACGGTTGGATGGCATCATCAACTCGATGGACATGAGTTTGAGCAAGCTCCGCGAGTTGGTGATAGACAGGGAAGCCAGGTGTGCTGCAGTCCATTGGGTCACAAAGAGTCAGACACGATTGAGTGACTAAACTGAACAGATCCCAGGGGTCCCTTTATTTTTCCTCCTTTTTTCCTTACTGATTTTTAAAATTAAAAGTAAGTATAAAGTATAAAATCCCATCTCAACTATTTACTTTAGAATAATTCCTTTACCTGTCAAAGGAGACGAGCTGTTCCTCTCTCTGTCTCTCCTCCGCCTAGAAAGTAGATGGCATTATTGCTGCTGTTATTCACAAACATGTCAAAGACACAGACACACACATACACACAATGGCCTCCTTTAGCTACAGTATAAAGAAGCAACATCCTTTGGCTCTGATAGGATCTATAAGATGACACAGGGCTCTGGCAATCTGTCTTGACTAGGAAATGGGTGTGAAGCAGTCAAAAGCCAATCTGCATTCCACTTTGGGTTCAGAATCAAAACCATACTAAGTAGGATGGAGAGAACATGGTAGGAGAAAGGAATAAAAATTAAAAACAGTGATAACTTATTTTAAAATTTGGAGAGAGGTGGATTAAGGGAAAGAACTGAAAACGTGCAAGCAAACAAATTTTCAGAACTTGTAAAGATTTTTTTTTTAAATAGACCTTTAAAGCATATCAGGTTCTAAAGTGACAAACTGACTTCAAAAATCAGTCTAATGATACATTACTTTTGTAATTTAACAACTAAGAAAAAAAGTTAAAAGAGCAATCTATTTTTTTTTAAAAAACTTCCCTTTTTTATGATCACAGTAACCAAAAAGTTAAGCAAAATAAAGAAAATTTCAAAATTCTACCCACCCAGAGGAATACAGTGGGTTTTTTTAAATTATTATTAGTTTTCACTCTTTCCCCTGATCAAGAAATGGAGCGCTGCTCGTGTCCTACAGCCTCCCTCTGTGCCCTTCTCCAGTAACAACCACCTCTCTCTCCTCCATAGTAACCATTATCCTGACTTTCTGGCCACCATTTTCTTGTATTTTTAAAATATTTATACATATCAATATTTAATATTTTATCTGATTTTGAATTTTACATGAACGGAATTATACTGTTTGTATTCTTTCATGCTTTGATTGGATCACATTGGATTATGCCAGATCCATACCTGATGCTAAATATAACTATGGTTCATTTTCTCTGTTGTAATATATTAATAGTACCACCACGTATTTATCTCTTCTATTGTTAATTGACATTGGAATGTTTCTGATTTTTGACTACTACAAATATTGTTGCTATGAACACTCCTGTACATATATCTTGGTACAAACACACAGAGTTCTCTGGGGTAGAACAGCTGGGTCATAAGGTGTGCGTGTGTTCTGAGTTACAGCCAAAACGTTTTCCAGTGGTTGTTTCAACTCATACTACCACTGGTCAGGTAGGAAAGCTCCTGCTGCATTACATCCTTTGTGTACCCTGGGCTGTTCATTACACTGCAAAAATTATTTGCTGGTATTCTTTGGGGGATAGGATAAAGGTGTCTGAACAGAGCCAATTTGTATTTGCTTTTGTCTGGCACGAAGGTACTCGACCAGACCAGGACTACTGGAAGCTTCAGGCTTTTGGACCATTCAGGTAGTATGAATTTGGGCAGCAAATCTGCCTGAAGGTTACTTTGTGGTACAATTTACTGCCAGGATTTCCCCTCCCTCCTGCCATTCTCTGTGCTAATGCAATTTTCTAGCAATCTGCTAGGGGAGAAGAGGGCTTACTTTTCATTTTTTTAGGGCCCAGTTTAATTTGAGCAGCACCTTCTTTTACAATATTCACCTTGCATAGACCCATTACTTTGACTTCATGCCATAAGGACATCAAAACTGAATTCATGTTTGCTCTCAGTAAATGTACTCAGTGGAAAAGTAGTTTTTTTCGGTGCTCTGCTTATCTCTATGGGTTCACACTTTCTCTTAGGCTTTGATCTTAATATTTTCATGGCTCTTTGATATTTTTGAGACATTGGGTTGTTAAAATCTAGTATGTTAATTCTTTTCAAAGAGAAGGCTAGTCCAAATAACCTAGCCTGCTACATTCTAGGAAATGGATTTATCTTTTCCTTTTTTTTTTTTTTTTCATAGTGAAAACTTTTATATTTGGAATTAGCCAGCTGGACTCTGTTTAGATGATCCCAATTTTGTTGGCAACATCCAAAGCATCATAGTCAGGAGCCAGTCGAACATATGCCTTCTTCTCTCCATCAGGCCTGATCAGATTATTGACCTTAGCCACGTCAACGTCACAGAGCTTCTTCACAGCCTGTTGAGTTTGGCGCTTCTTGGCCCCAATATCCACAGTGAACACCAGTGTGGTGTTGTCTTCTGTTTTCTTCATGGCTGACTGGGTGGTGAGGGGGAATTTGATGATGGCATAGTGGTCACGTTTGTTTCTCCCAGGGGCGCTCTTCCGAGGATATTTAGGCTGCCTCCTGAGCCACAGTGTTTTGGGCCGCAGGAAGGTGGGTGACATCCGGATCTTCTTTTCCTTGTGGCTGTGGATGCTGGATTCTTGGCCTTCAAAGCCTTTGCTGTGGCTTCAGCTTTAGGAGGAGCAGGGGCTTCCTTCTTCACCTTCGGCGCCATCTTCATGAAAAGGTTATCCTTTCTTTTTAAAAAGTTTTTAACATAAGATCAATATGACAATGAGAATGAAAAAAGAAAATTACACATAATTCTACCTATCATTTTTGTAAATCGTTGTGCATATTCCTTTGCAGTCTTTGACCATATGTACACTTTTTTAACAAAGGTCATACTAATCTGACATTTTCATAGCAGCTAATGTCCATGTTTATTATTTAAAGGAATAGTAAGCAAAGACAAATGGTCAAAAATTTTTTTAAACTTAGGAAAGAACATCCTGAAATTTGCATAAGTCTTCTTTTGGAAATAAACTCACAGAAAGACGAGATCCAGCTCTTGCTCGGGCAATGCTCTCCTTCTCCTTTTCAGACACCCTTCTCTGCACAGCCTGGAAACTGTTTAAGGCTGCAGAGAAGTCATTCATGAGACGTTCCTTCTGAAGTTTCTGCTGGCGCTGGGAAATTAAACAAGAACTTAAAATTTCATATTAACCCAGAATCATTTGGTTTTAATTCCTTTATTTTTTTTTTTTAAATTCCCTTCAAAAGCAAAAGTATACCCCCTAAAAATTCCCAACTAGGAAAAGAACTGTGAAATAGGTTCTTCCTTAAATGAACGAACTTGCTCTTTTCTAACTCAAATATCTGGTTAATACTATAGGCCAAGTCAGAGTTTTCCTTCTTTCATTCTGACAAACCTGCACACTGGGTGTCTTTTACCTTGTAAGGGAATCTCAGAGGGAACCACAGTTCAGAATTTTGGTTCCCAGGAGAATCTAAAAGCAGAATAAACACCTATGGATTTAGAATGGACTCAAACAGAGACTGTTTCCTTGCTAACATGTTAAAAACTGTATTCATCTATAGTTAGTTCACAGCTTACCTAAACACCATAGAATCATTTGCCTTCACACTGTAGTAAGATTCAAAATCTTTGAGAACCTAAAAGCTTATTCTTCAGAGTTACAGGCTGTTTACTTAGCTTACTGATACTATGTCTCAAAAAGCACATACTGAGAGCGCTTGCTATTGTCAATTGTTACTACAGGTTATACAGAGGCAAGTATAATCAGTAAGAATCCAAGTGGTCAAGGCCTCAAGAGGTGGTGGACACTAAGGGAAGAGTAAGGCATGAATAGCAGAGAGAAGGGGAAAGGCAAAGCCATGCAAGGTAACTGTGAGCAAAGGCACGGTGGCAGAAATTTGCAGAGGATTTACAAAAAGGTAGTCTGACTGGAACCAAAGGTTTTTTTCATGAGAATAGCTAAAAGATAAAATTGAAAAAATAGGGAAGGAGCTGGGCACTGCAAGTTTTATTTTTCTTTTTTAAAGATTTGCTTACTTGGCCACACCAGGTCTTAGTGGCACACGCAGCATTTTTGATCTTCATTGTGGCATGTAGGGCTTCCCAGGTGGCGCTAGTGATAAAGAACTTGCTTGCCAATGCAGGAGACTAAGAGACAAGGGTTCCACTCCTAGTCTGGAAGATCCCCTGGAGTAGGGCACGGCAATCCACTCCAGTATTCTTGCCTGGAGAATCCCATGAACAGAGAAGCCTGCCAGACTACAGTCCATAAGGTTGCAAAGAGTCAGATATGATGGGAGCGACTTAGCACAGATGCACTCAGGTATGCTGGTTCTTTAGTTGTGGCCTGGGGGGTTTTAGTTGTGGAATGTGAACTCTTAGTTGTGGCATGTGGGATTTAGTTTCCTAAGGATCGAACTTGGGCCCCCTGCATTGGGATGGCGGAGTCTTGGCCACTGGACCACTAGGGAAGTCCCCACAGCAGGTTTTATTTTATTTTTTTTAATTTCTTTTTGGCTGTCCAAGTCTTTGTTGCTTCACACCGGCCTTCTCTAGAGCAGGGGTTACACTTTGTTGCAGCGCGAAGGCTTCTCAATGCAGTGACTTCTCTTATTGCGGACCACAGGCTTTATAGCTCAGGCTTAGTAGTTGTGGCTCACAGACTTAGTTGCTCTGTGGCATGCAGGATCTTCCCAGATGAGGGACTGAACCCATGTCCTCTGCATTGGCAGGCGGATTCTTAAACACTGGGCCACTAAGGAAGTCCACCCGCTGCAGGTTTTAAATGCCAAGCTAATGAGTTTGGGATTCAACCTCTAAATAACCAAAATCAATGAAGATTTCTATGAGGGGAACACGATGTGTACAAAATGATAACTTAGAAAAATGAGTCCATCATGGTGAACACAATGGAATGGAAAAATGAAATAAGTCAAAAAGATGACCACAAGAATCAAGATTTAAGGTTAGGAAGACATGGTATCAGTAATGAGAACATAAAGAAATGAGTCTAAAAAACATTATGCGACTGGCTGTGGGGAAAGGAGGATAATTTCAAAGGATGACTCACATTTCACACCTGGGAGAGAGATGGTAACACTGAAAGCAAATTTAGATGAGGGACTTTTTATCCAGAGATTTTAATTTTTACATAAACATTAAATAATAGAGGGGGAAAAAACATCATCCCCCAATCTCACTATCCAAAAATATTATCTTTGAAGTATATCATAAGCATTTTCCATGTTAACATACTCTTCACAACTTGGTCTTTGCTACATAATACTCCACTAAGTTGATCTAGTAAATTTTACATAAGCATCCCTTCTATATTGTTCTATTTTTAACTATTATAAATAAACAAAGCTAAAGTAAGCCCTATTGTAACAGCTAATATTTATACAGTTCTTATCACATATCATATTGTTATAACTACTTTATATAATAACCCATTTAATCCATATATCTACCTATACTATTAAAGTACCTATTTGACAGATCTGGAAAATGAGGCAGAGAGGTTAAGCAATTTGCCTGGGATCATATAATAAATGGCAGGGGTAGAATTTAAATCCAGTAAACCTGGCTCCAGAGTGTACAGCTGGGTTTTTTTTCTTAGAACTTAGAAACATTTGCATGAGTGGAAATATTAGACCAAAAGGCACAAACATTTTTTTATGACAATAAGTACTGTCAGTCAGCTTACTGAGGGGTTTGGGTGAAACAGGAGGGGTTCATTAGCATATCAAAGAGGAGATGTCAGAGCAGGAATTAGCAATATGGGCCAAGAACTTAGAGGTGCAGGGGCAAGGGATTGAAAAAGATTTGGGGACCATGGTCATAAAAGTCACAGTAAGCTCATAAAAGTAGAAAAGTCTCCTGGGGGAGAAAGCACAAAATAACAAAATTACAGGATCACTTGTAGCGCCTTGGGGCACACCTACTTCTAGGAGGACACACAGTCAGAGAAAGATGCTAAGACTCAACCTGGGGTAAGAGAGACAAAAGGCCAGAAAGGGGTCACCAGAGTTGGGGAACATGAAAACTATTTTGTCATCTTTACTATGGAAATCATGGGAAGAAGAAGGAAGTTTCAGTAAAGACAGGATGAACAGGAGGATCAAATAAAACAAAGAGAAATGAATAAAAACTCAAAAAAAGCCCATTGGATTTGGCAATTAGAAGATCACTGATAATAGTGCATAAGTATGAAAGAAATGTGAAAGTAGGATGTATGGTTTGATAGTCCAGTAGCAAAAAGATGAGTGACAGGGCTAAGATTAATTAGATAAAGAAACAGTTGAAAAGGAAAAGAATATTCAGCACAATAGGAGGAAGGGAATCCAGGATTTATATTTCACCAGAGATAATACCTCTGTGGATTTATTTCATGTTCTTATTGATCCAAACTTTGCCAACAAATGTCCATCTAGTCAAGGCTATGGTAGTAGTCATGTATGGATGTGAAGTTGGACTATAAAGAAAGCTGAGTGCCGAAGAATTGATGCTTTTGAACTGTGGTGTTGGAGAAGACTCTTGAGAGTCCCTTGGACTGCAAGGAGATCCAACCAGTCCATCCTAAAGGAGATCAGTCCTGAATATTCATTGGAAGGACTAATGTTGAAGCTAAAACTCCAATACTTTGGCCACCTGATGCAAAGAGCTAACTCATTTGAAAAGACCCTGAAACTGGGAAAGATAGAAGGCGGGAGAAGGGGACGACAGAGGATGAGATGGTTGGATGGCATCACTGACTCAATGGACATGAGTTTGAGTAAACTCCGGGAGTTGGTGACAGACAGGGAGGCCAGGCATGCTGCAGTCCATGGGGTCGCAAAGAGTTGGATACGACTGAGCAACTGAACTGAACTGAATGATTCAAGATAATGGAAGGAAACAAGAAGATGCATAATCCAAAAATAATTTCTATTTGATTTTTGAATACATTAGATTTTTTTTTTAAGTAGATTGAACTTTCTATTTTGCTTAGGCTACTATTTAACACTTTGCTGTTGCTCAGTCGCTCAGTTGTGTCTGACTCTTTGAGACCCTGTGGACTGCAGCACATTCTGTTGACATATCAGACTGAGAGATTCCTTTTTTTACTGCTAAAACTATCTACAAGTGTGTATTCCCTATGTGCACAGCTGGGAGGAGGAAAGGGGTGATTTGGGAACAATTTCAAAGAATGAATGGCAAGGGGAACTGGTCCAGTGTGAGAAACAGCCAACACAAATAGCACACAGAGGCAGAGTCAAAGGGTGATTATGTTAAGGTTACTACTTTGCAGCAGGATGACAAAGTACCTAGTTTCGGTTCTTTTCTTTTGGGCAAGGGGATGCCAAAAATCCAAAGACTGAACACATACTTCATTAAACGCCTTGCCAGGAATGAGTTAAACTGATGATTTTCAAACTTTTTTGATGGAGATCCAGAATAAGAATGTGACATCTTGACCTAGCATCATATACACACATATGTGTGAAACAAAAGTTTCATGTAACAGTATTTCCCTCAATTACATGGTTACACACTCTGATATTTCTATTCTGTTTCATTTCTTTTAATGGTGATCACAATACACTAAAATTATTTTATGTTCCAACAGTTACAATTCATAGACAATCCAGGAAGGGGAGTGGTAGGCTTCATCTTTAGAGCCATCAGAGACAAAATATCATCATTTAAAAAATTCACTAATAAAAAACAACATAAGTTAAGTGCCCCCATGAATGGTATAAAAACTAAAGCAAAATAAAATCACAATAGTCTAAGATAGAGAAGATTTTTGTCCTGGAAGACACAGGATGTAAGGCAGACCATGAACAGTAGGTTAAAAAGTCAAGCTACAATGGAGGGGACACATTTGACTTTAAGAACAAGTGAAGTTAAGGCATGGCATATCAAGGGAACAATGAATTCCAGCAGAAACTGTGTCTTTAAAGGATTTAAATGGTCAGTGAAGAAAATGACTTGAGTAGAGAAAGCTTTATTTCTCAGAGCATTTCCTTAATTGGAAACCTAGAAATGACTTGATGTGACATGAAAGTAACTGCAAAGTGAAAAAGACGTTTGCTTAAAATTTATAGATACTGGATACAAGCCAACGAGAATCAAGCCAGAAAGCATAAAGCTGCAAATCAAATCCCAACAAGATGCAAACACTGAGATTCTTCTTCAGTTAAACCCATTTTTACTAATATATTAATATATTACTGCTAATTATCACAGCAGCTACCCATATTGAGTACCTACTAATACCTTGCAAGATCTGGTACATGCATTCTTTCTGTTGTCACAATAGACACATCCATTTTATGGATAAGGAAACTGAGGTTCAGTGTGAAGGCCAAGTTTGTTTCACATACCGCCTCTTCAAAAAAAAAAAACAGTATTTTTCTTATTCAAAATAAACAAGTCAAAACCCCAGAAAATACCAACCTGTTCTGAAGTAGATAAAGGAAGGGGCAAGGACCCCAGTTCCTTCAGTAATTCATTTGTTTCCTTGGCAAGCTGATTTGTAGAGTGTTGTAACTGTTGCCTAAGAGAAAAAAGATATGTTTTAGGATATTCTCATTTCTTGAGAGCTGTTAGCATCAGTCTGTTCTCAGAGTATCTCATGATGCAGGGAATGAAAGGGCACCTGAAGGAATGGGTTCCCACATGCTCAGGTTCACAACAAAATTCCAAAAGTACCACCCAGTCAAACTCACTTCAAGTTGTCTTCACGTTAACGAGTAGAAAGAACCTACCTCAATGAAAACTGCTGATTAGGTATTTTAATTCTTTGGGGAGAAAAGAAAAGCATTCTCAGCAGTTCTGATAGAAATACAAGAACAGCTGCCCCTACACCTCAATCTAATAGTTTTAACATGTTGAACTCTCCAAAAATTCTCACAGTGATTTGCCCAAGAGTTCTGCATGGTTACTGTCTGTCACAGTCCACTGACTAGTGACAATCCACGCACTGGGGGTTGGATGAAAGGTGCATTAGAAGCACAGATTCTACCAGAGGGAACAACCTCCAAAGATCAACTCCCACGTTTGTGCTTAAAGCTGGTGCTTTTTCAGCTTTATCTTTGGCTCCCTACCTATGCTTTATGCTAGACTTTCTGGCTCTTTCCTCCAAAACAAAGAAGCCCTATATTGTATTAAAAAAAAAAAAAAAGGAAGGAGCAGAGGGGGAAGGAAATTAAAGAGGGAAAATTGTGTGGGATTGAAAGGTACTAGAAATACAAAAAAGATTCCTTTCAATCATGGTTTCTTCTACTATCTGGCCATTTCTGCAAAGGTTTTAAGAGAGGACAGAGAAACCACACTACTAATTACTAATATTTTTTCACTGCAAAGGGATCTCCAAGATAGAAGGAAAAAAAAAAAAAAGCAAAACAAAACAAACAACAACAACAAAAATGAGAGTCAAAACCAGGGGGAGTCAAAAAAACAAAAAACAAAAATGGGAATTTCCTGGTGGTTCACTGGTTCCCCCTTCCACCCAAGAGGACACTGGATCAATCCCTGCTTGGTGAACTAAGATCCAACCAGCCATATGGTACAGCAAAAAAAATAACAAAACAAAACAAAAAAGCCCCCCGAAAGAGTCAATCCGAAGCCTGAGCATCACAGACAGTACTAAAATACCCACAGCTACCTCACGTCTCCCTCAAAAAAGCTCAAAATACTAACAATAAGTCATCCTCTCACTTCCCAATGTCTAGGGCAGGAAACAAAAATATTGTTAAGGTGAAAACTAGAACTTCTAACAGCAGAGGCGGAGTCAAGAAGGACATAATAAAAAGAATCTATTTCACTATTCTCTCCTCGGGTCATTCCGAATACACTTTTCTAATATTATATATAGTTGGAAATCCAACAGATTAGGTGAGCACTGTAGATCATCAGGAGGCCTGTGCCAACAACGAAGCTCATGGAGGCAGAATGCAGAGTGGTAGGGATTCCCCCTCTACTTCCCTAAATTGTTCTGCTAAGCTGTCCAAGGGAGGAAGAAAAGCAGAGTCCAAGGACTCTGAGAGGCAGGGGAGATCACAACCCATTAATGTATTTTGTTGCTCCTCTTTTAGATCCATCTATGACCTCATGTCCCACTGCCTCTCATGCTGAATTCACAGGCCTGAAACCCAGGCCACCAAGCAGCAAGAGCATTAGGTGTGTCCCTAAAAGGCCCTCACAAATCCCAACCTTGTTAGGAAGCTACTCACAGATTCTCCTGTAGCTTGCTTGAATCCTGCTTAGTTCCTAGTTGGCTCATCAAGTTCTTTATCTGAGCGGCTGGGGAGAGGAGAAAAACAAATTTATTAAAAAGAAAAATACATTCATCACAAGCACCCTGGGGAGGGGGGAAGGGATAAATTGGGAGACTGAGATTGATGTATACATACTACTATATATAAAGTAGATACCTAATAAGGACCTATTGTATAGCACAGGGAATTCTACTCAATACTCTGCAATGGTCTATAAGGGAAAAGAAACTAAAAAAGAGAGTGTGTGTGTATATATATATATGATTCACTGTGCTATACACCTAAAATTAACACAACATTGTAAATCAATTATACGTCAATAAAAATTTTTTTAAAAAACAAGCACCCTAATTCTCAGATCACTGGTCTCTCCCCATATCCTGAATAAGTATGTACAACCAATAGAAAGCATGCTATGATCAAGACCCTGGTTTTGATCTTCTATTCTCTTCTAAATCTACCTGTGAGATCTACCTTTCTCCTACAGAGTAAATATGCCACTAAGCAGAAGATGGTGGTTCTGTTTGTCACTCCCAAAGAACTTCCACATTCTGCCAGATTTTCAGTGGCACTGGTTAAAATGTTTCTCTCTTTTGGAATGGCCTTGATATCAAGTATCAGTTCACAGCAATAAAAATTTAAATTCATGAATACAAAATAATTTTCTACAGCAAACATTTTTGGAAAGACAATGTACATTTATTATTGATAGTAAGTTACCACTAATTGAGCACTTCTATGTGCCAAGTACTATATTAGGAGCTTTGTATACACAATCTTATTCATTTTCATAGCAACAGTCTGAAGTGGATGTATCTTCATTTTGCAGATGAAGAAATAGATTTAGAGAAGTTAAATATCTTATGTAAGTGCACACACAAAAAGAAGTAGGGCAAAACATTCAACCCCAGGGACATCATACTCCAATGCCTATGTTCCTTTAACTATGCTGTCTGTAGACAAATAGTACATTGCTTTGTTCAGATTACTCTACCAAGATACTGTACTAAGATTAGGAATGGTCATATTTGAATCCTAGATGTTTAAGCCCCTAGCCCTGGACTAGGAAAGCAGAGCTCTGGAGGAATTGATAGTCTATCAAAAAGCAGAAACAGACTGCCTGGGAATCTGAACACCCTCGTCGCTCACTGACTTCTACAACAGGAATAGAGCCCCTGATTTCCTATGTCCTACTTTCTATTCTTTATCTGTTGGCAGAGAAGACAGGGGAGATTCATTCATTCATTCATTTATAGAGCTTGAAATTTTATTGTACGACTTTTTTGTTTGTTTGCATGCTTGCATTTTAAAAGCATTCACTGTCTTCTATACGGCTTCCCAGATCACTGTGCCATCATGGGTGTTGCAAAGCAAAAGTTTCCAAAGTCCAGAATATATATGTATGTAACACTTCAAATCATGATTTTATCTTAAGACCATCTTTTAAGCAAAAATATAACTCCAATTTTATAACAGAAATATAAATGATTAAAGTGCTTAAATGATTAAAAATGATTAAAATTCACATGATTAAAAAGTTGCCTTTTGATAAACTTTCCTAAAATATAACTATTCTACTAAATGAGGGTTTTTTAGTTTAACGGTTCCATAGGAAAATGTAAAGCACTATAAAAGATTGCATTCTGCTAAAAAAGCATTATGTAAGATATAAATAACCATTTTTCATCACTAAGATGTATAATGTCCTTCTTACCTAAGTCTAATGGGAATTAGAATCAAAGATATCAACTGGCTGGCCAAACAAATAATTTAAGAAAGAGGACAGACATTAGCATCTACAGAGCGTTCATCATGTGCCAGACACTGGGCTATGTACTTGATGTGGTATAACAAAAAGTGTATTTGGTCTTTGTCCTCAGTTCCTGGCAAAGAGTTCCTAAAAGCCTTGAAATTTCCTGAGTGATAGGAGTGTCTTTCGTTATTCATAAAGGGCTCCTTTGGAGCATACAGAGCTTACCTATTGAGGTGACCTAAGCCCTGATAGCCTCAGGGTGGGTTGGGTTTGTCACCAGAAAGACCAAGTAATTAGCAGGTTGGAAATTTCAGTTCCACCTGCCAACCTCTGAGAAGGGAAACTAGAGGTAGGGAGATGAAGTACAGATTAAACTCTAAATTCTTGAACTAGATTTGAATGAGCTTCCAGATTGGTGGGCTCCCCAGGTAGTTCACTGGTAAAGAACCCACCTGCCAATGCAGGAGACTCAGGAGACACGGGTCCGATCCCTGGGTCGTAAGATCCCCTGGAGGAGGGCATGCCAACCCACTCCAGTATTCTTGCCTGGGAAACCCCATGGACAGAGGAGCCTGGCACAGTCCATGGGGTCGAAGAATCAGACACGACTGAGTGACCACACACACACAGGCACAGACTGGTGACCACATGCAGATGCAGGGAGGGTGTCAGTGCCCAGAGAGAGCATGGAAATTCTGAGCTCTTCCTACATACCTTGTTCTAGGAATCTCTTCTATCTGGCTGCTCCTGAATTATATCCTTTTATAATAAACCAGTAAGTGAATGTTCTCCTGAGTTACGTGAGCTGGACTAGCAAACTAGCTGAACCTGAAGAGGGGCTCATGGGAACACCTCGAACACAGCTCACTGAGCAGAAGGACAGATAAGAACCCAGACTTACAATTGGCATCTGAAGGGTGGGGGTGTCGGGGGAGCCTTGTGGGACTAAGCCCTTAATTTGTGGAATCTGATGCTAACTCCAGGTAGTGTCAGAATTGAATTAAATTGTAGGACACCCAACTTAAGTCCAGAGAGACTATCAACTGGCGTGCGGTAAACCCACACATCTGGTGTCAGAAGTATTGAGAGTGGAGGAAACATCAGAAGAGTGCTTTTCCTTCGCTCCTCATAAGCATTATCTCACTGTTGTTGCTGTGCTAGTTGCTCAGTCGTGTCCGACTCTTTGTGACCCCACGGACCGTAGCCTGCTAGGTTCCTCCGTCCATGGGATTCTCCAGGCAAGAATACTGGAGTGGGTTACCATTCCCCTCTTCAGGGGATCTTCCCAACCCAGGGACTGAATCCCGGTCTCTCGCATTGCAGGCAGATTCTTTACCGGCTGTCCCACCAGGGAAGCCCCTTATCTTATTAGGTAAGCATTATTACAGGTGGGGACACTGAGCTCACGCTGTTACAAAACTCATTCCTTCACTCGGAATACCTATTCTCCAGTTATGTGCTCTGGAAGATATTGCTCTCAAGAAGCTTCCATTTTTAGGAGAAGAGATAATAAGCATGTATAAATAAAATCAGGTACGGGCTGGAATAACAGGGTAGGGAGAGGGGACTAGTTTATACAAGGTAGTCAGAGATGACCTCTCTGATTAGGTGACAGAGCAGAGACCTAAAGGAAGTGAAAGATCAAATCCTGAAGAATATCTGGGGGAAAAGCTTTCTAGCAGAGAGCATGAAGCACAAAGTGCCCAAGGTGAGCACACTTATGATGGAGAAATGGGGGCCAGTGTGACTATAGAGAGATGACAGAGAGGGGAGCCAGAACACACAGGACCCTGTAAACTAGAGCAAGGCCTTCTCATTTTAATGAAATGGGACGCCACCAGTGGTTTTAAGCAGTGTCATAAAAACCAGAATTTAAATCCAGGGCTAATTCCAATAACTATATTTTTTTATGTCCCATTAGATTCTCTCACAGGCAGGCAGACCTTTAAAGGAAATACACAGAATATAGTGACTTAGGGCAGGCTTCCATTTGCCAGTGTTGCACTTTGCCCCACCCTGCTTATCTGACAGCTCCCTAACCTAACAGCTCTCTCTCCTCCAGATAGGCTGATGCCCTTGCTCTAACCTGCTCCCTTCCCTAAGGCCTTGCCACCTTTGGGAAGGTTCCTTCGTACTTACTGGAGCCCAGCAGAGTGACAGCACCCAGGGAGCAGTAAGCAATTGCTGATTAATTGAGTTAGCCTCAGTTTTATGTCATGCCACTTTCAAGGCAGAAGATATGAACAAACATGAGGAACATGAGCTAGGAATAATGAGATCTAAACTCTAAGCCAAACAGGACCACTCACTACACGTATGGCACCAGATAAGTCATTTCATGTTGCTGGGTCTCTTTCACCAATTGTATATGATATTCAGGTTTAACTAACACATATTGAGTACTTATTGTCTGTCACAGTACTTACTATTTGTGTGGGTGGGGCTTTTTTCCTTATTCAATTATTACGACTACATAAGGACTAAATGACCTCTAAGTACTCCCACCACTGCTCAATGATAAAAGTCAACAATAATGAAGAAGCTCTAGTCCCAGAATGATGCTGTGTAACCAAGCAGTATTTTTTGCAAGCCACAGTTTGGCTGACAGAGACTCTGCCTCTCTGTACAAATGGGACTGGACTGACTATACACCTCTGGAGAGGAGGGACCACATTCTAACTCATTTTTGTGTTTGCATAACCACACATGCATACACACTCCTCCAGAAAATAACTGGTTACAGGGTGACACATAAAGGTAAATGTTACTAGTATGTAACATGAATGTTACACTTCAAGGAAACAGATCTCATCTTATTGACTGTCTTTACATAGAGCATTCTCTTTAGAAACTCTAGAGATTTCAAAATTTCAAGTTGTTAATCACCTATCAAAATGTATTAAATGCCCTAGACAGCAAAGGGGATTTTATAGACTATGGGGGAAAAGTCAATTTAAAATCAGCTGTTCTTGGTTTATCCTCAGCCGAGAACTTTTTTACCTAGTCTTTTCTGACTTCTTTTGTTTGCTGAGATATGTAAATTGGGATGGGGGGACTGGGGTGGGGGGATGGAGGAGGACTTTATAGCGTCACTTGTTAGCTAAGCACCAGAATGAATCCAAGCTTTCATCAATTCTATTCAAATTCCTGAATATTGACATTTTCCTAAAAGTTTCCAGCAAGATGCCCCAAAACTCAAGTGATAAGGACAGTAGCCTCTTTGTTTACTGGAAGTAGAATTCTCTGTATACTGCCCTCCATAACCAACATCA